GTATACAGTAATTTTTTTTCCAAAATTCAATTTTTTTTTCTTTCCATTTTTCCGGCTTTTTAATCGGGATTTTTTTTTGGTTCGGTTTTATAAAATCGATTTTTTTAAATCTTTCATAATTTTTTAAGCTATTTTTTTTTAATTTTTTTTCTTTTTATAATCTAAATAGTGATATTATTTTCTTAATTGTTTTTTCTCATTCTTTCAGCAGCGTGTATTAAAGATAATAAGTCATTCTAACATTTTGTTTCTGTTGACGTATCTGATGTGAGGAAAGCATCTGAGTTAAGTGTAAGGGACTTTATAAGTTTCTTTCTGTGGGAATTTAATGTCTCCATTAAATCATTTTTATGTTCTGGGCGTTTATATAACAAGGTGATAATTAAATGAAAGAAACTTACTAATATACATTATTTTTCTGAAAGGAGATTATATTTAAATAAATAAAATAATGAGAAATAAATTGATTTCTGTAGTTTCATAAAAAAACAATTACAGTATATTAGAAATTTATTATAAAATCTTGTGACGTAGAATTGGCACTGTAAACGGACATATCATTTAATAGTTATGTGATTATATAATTAACTTATTGTTTAGAAAAAAGAAAATAATATTTCTTTTCACGAGTATAACGTTCTACTGAACATCAAAAAAATATTTATAATATGAACAAACATTTTTTTTTTATTAATTACTTAAACATAATCATAATTCTATATCTGGAAGATTACTTTTTCCGGAAAATTAGTTTATTTTTAAAAATAATGAAAAACAAAATATTTTAATTAGTTTCTTCTTAAATTTTATTCTTAATTTAATACTATATTTAAAAGAATTCGTTAATAATTTTTAGTTTTTTTTGCAAAATTATATTTTTTTCATGATGTAATTGATGTATCGATGTATCACCATATCACATAAGCTATTTTTAATGATCATTTATAAAAATTATTTTATATCTTTAAGAACCTTGGAATACATCTGAAAAAGTAATGAAATACAAAATGAGAGGATATTTTCGCAAGTATATATAATAGATTAAAAAAGAATTAGTATGACAAAAATATATTGGCCACACAGAAATAATCTTAAATTATATTGCATTGTTTTTTATCATTTTTGATGTCGAACTAGGGTCATCGAGTCAGGTCATGCGAGTCATGGGTCATTAATCTAAAAGCTGAGTCATGTCAAATTAACCGGGTCGTATCTTTCGGAACGCTAGTTATTAACAAAAATATTTCTTTGACGTTACAAAAATTTAAATTAATCAAAAACTATCGTTCATATGATTTTAAAACAAATCAATAAAATTTGACAATCCAAACAAACTCAATCAAAATAAAATTTTAATAGTTTCAAATTTCAAAGCCTTATATAATTATTTTTCAATAGTATGGACATAAGATTAAAATTTAGTTAACTATTATACATAATTTTAATTATGGTAAAATGTAAGCTCGTTACAAACTAAAATCTGGTCACGTGATTCTTATTGCCCCAGTTACACACAAATTCCTCATTTTATGTATTCAGTATAAACGACGAACTTTGGTAATGACATTAACATCTAATGATTTGACCAACAGTCTTTACTCTAATTTATGTTTTAATCCCATTTCTATTTTGTTCCTTTTAATTTATAAAGTATTAAAGAATTTTAAAAACAAACCAACAAACATTTTGGTGACGTAGTCCTAAATCACGCGTAAAAATTTCATGCAATGTAAATCTGTCTTAAAAAATTTTGATCGACATCCCAAACAATCTATAAATGGTCCTTTAAACGTGTTATAGACTTGTAAATTAAAGCGACAGATTACATCATATTGTATTCTATTATGGTAAATTTATTTGTAACTAATATTAATATATTAATTTTATAATTTATTTTAATTTGTTTATTTCATATTATTTCCAACTTAGAACATAAATTGTTTACTTGCCAGATTACCTAATAAGTAATCTCATTTATTCTAAATTCGATAATTATACCATGATACATATTCTTTTTCTATCGGATAAACCAAATTTGAGATGAGAAAAAAAAAAAAAAATTATTTGAAAGATAAGCCAAATCTGCATTATACAGCGCTACATTGGGTATATTATTTTATGATAATCGAAAAATATAAAATTTTTGAAAGTATATATAAATAAATTAATATCAAATTGCTAGTATATAAAATATTAATTTATTGAAAAAATTATTATTAAGTATTAAAGAAATTGTAAATAAAGAAAAAATACATGAATGACATAATTATGTGCAATAAAACCAATTCCTAATTTAAATTAAATTTCGTACAATATAAATACGCCTCAAAGCCATACTCATCTAAAATAAGCGATAAATGACATGAAATCGTTTTATGGCATTTGCATATCTGTTGTAAAATGATACTGTAACAACGACGAGTTACATAAATTAGAATATTAATATATTTTTTGATTTATTTCATATTACTTAAAGAAGCATATTCTTTTTATTCAGTTAAACCAAATTTGGGATGATAAAGAAATGCTGAATGAGATCTGCGTTACACAAGCTGCGTTATAAATACATATACTGTAGAAATATTAATGTTTCGAAAGTATTTTGATAATTACAACTAAGTAATAAAGAGTTTTTAAATCTCACAAAAAACGTGTCATGTACAATTAAAATTGATTTAAATTTATGCAATATAAATACGCCTCTAAGAACTGGGCTGATATTAAATTATACTCTTTAAAAACAAGCGATAAATGGTTCATAATTTGTTTAAATGTATTTGCATATTGTAAAAAGATGCTCTAACAGGTTGCATAATATTATAGTAATAATACATAATTAGAAGAATAATATTTTTTTAATTTCATATTATTTCAACTTCGAACATAAATTATTTACTTGCCAGTTAACCTAATGAAGCATTTCATTTTTTCCAAATTCGAAAATTATATCATGATATATATTCTTTTTTATTTAGACAAATCAAATTTGTGATGAGAAAAATACACTGCCAGATCTGCGTTACACAAGTGCGTTGTACAATACATATATTGTAGATAAATTTTTAAGTATTAATGTTTCGAAAGTATTTTGATAATTACAAATGAATTGACACAAAATAATCATATAATCTTACATTATTGAAAAAAAAATATTTTATTAATTAATAAAGAGTTTTAAAATCACGATTGAAAAATATTGGATAGTCAAGTCCAATTAAAATTGATTTAAATTTCTAAATAAATACGCCTCTAAGAACAGAGCCGATCTCAAAATATACTCTTTAAAATAAGCGGTAAATGGTTCATGAAATAGTTTAAAGGTATTTACATATTTTGTTGTAAAAAAGATGCTGTAACAATAGCGGGTTGCATAATATTATAGTAATATTGCATAATTAGAAGAACAATATTTTTTAATTTCATATTATTTCAACTTCGAACATAAATTGTTTACTTGCCAGTTAACCTGAAGCATTTCATTTTTTCCAAACTCGAAAATTATATCATAATACATATTCTTTTTTATTTAGACAAACAAAATTTGTTGATGAGAAAAATACACTGCTAGATCTGCGTTACACAGATGCGTAGTACAATACATATATTGTAGACAAATTTTTAAGATACGGTGTTTCGAAAATAGTTTGATAATCTACTTTATAATAATTGTTTGCCTGTGTGACAGTAACGTTTAGATTACATATTTATATCTGTGTACCCGTAACGTTTGGACTACAATTTATACCTGTGCACCCGAAAGACTGTATATAACATTTAACCGTCGTGCCAATCACGTGTATGTTTATCTGACGTTGCGGAGCAACCGTTTCAATGGCTAGTTACAAATAAATTGGCACAAAATAATCATGTAATCTTACTTTATCGAAAGAAAAATTTTTGTTAATTAATAAAGAGTTTTAAATCACGCAAGAAAGAAAATTGGATAACGTAGTCACGTACAATTAAAATTGATTTATGTTTCATGCAATGTAAATAAATACGCCTCTAAGAACAGGGCCGATCTCAAATTATACTCTTTAAACAAGCGGTAAATGGTTCATAAAATAGTTCAAAGGTATTTATATATTTGTTTTTAAAAAAGATGCTGTAACAATAGCGGGTTGCATAATATTATAGTAATATTGCATAATTAGAAGAACAATATTTTTTAATTTCATATTATTTCAATTTCGAACATAAACTGTTTACTTGCCAGATAACCTAGTGAAGATTTCATTTTTTTCCAAATTCGATAATTACATCATGATGCATGTTTTTTTTTCAGACAAACCAAATTTGTGATGATAAAAATATAAGCCAGATCTGTGTTACACAAGCCACGTTGTACATTACATATACTGTAGACAAATTTTTTAAGATAAACGAAAAGTATTAATGTTTCGAAAGTATATTGATAATTACAAATAAATTGGCACAAAATAATTATATAATCTTACTTTATCGAAAGAAAAATTTTTTATTAATTAATAAAGAGTTTTAAATCACGCAAGAAAAAAAATTGGATAATGTAGTCACGTACAATTAAAATTGATTTAAATTTCATGCGATGTAAATAAATACGCCTCTAAGAACAGGGTCGATCTCAAATTATACTCTTTTAAAACAAGCGATAAATGGTTCAATTCATAAATAAACTAATCTAAATGTAATTGCATATTTGTTGTAAAAAAGATACTGTAATATAACGGCGGGTTGAATAATATTATTGGTAATAAGAAGAATAATATTTTTTTTGATTTCATATTATTTCAATTTCAAACATAAATTGTTCACTTTGCCAAATAACCTCATTAATGAAGCATTTCATTTTTTCCAAATTCGATATTATTTCATGATGCGTACAAAGAATCGAAAAAATGTAATATTCTTAATATTCTTAATATTATTTAATCGAACATATTTATATAGGCTGTGATTAGCACTTTGATGAATAAAATTATTTGAAAATAATTTTTTTTTTTCAAAATCTTGAAGACACGATGGAAAAATCGATAGATTACTTTTTAGTAAGTAAATTACGAAAACTGACTTTGTGTTTTGGTTTAAGAAACATAATTGTTAATTTTATTTGAAACATTCTAGGGAGGTCGTGAAAATTCAACGATAGGTGTATCATTGAATACTGTTGCGAGAGCACTTGATAGTGCTTGTAACGGTATTTGCACTTTGATTCAATTCTATGAAAGCTGCACAGTTGTCAAGCTTAGCAGGGGAGGTGGTGACGATGATTTCTGTAGTCTTTTAAAAAGAATTTATGATCAATTAGAATGTAAATATAAGATAAACAATGAATATTTGTTTTTAACCTATTTATAACTAAAAAAAAAAAAAAAAAAAAAAAANGTGCTTGTAACGGTATTTGCACTTTGATTCAATTCTATGAAAGCTGCACAGTTGTCAAGCTTAGCAGGGGAGGTGGTGACGATGATTTCTGTAGTAATATATAAATATAAATATATATATATATTTTTACTTATATATAAAAGTGTCTTGTTCTCATCTCTTTTTATTTATAACTAAAAAAAAAAAAAAAAAAAAAAAAATTTATACTTAGGTGGCGACGTAAGTGGGTTGGCTGAAAATACCGATAAACTGAAAATTGGTATTATTAAAGCCCAAGAAATTCTCTCAGAACGTTTAAACGAACTAAGACCATTGAGCGATTCTGCACGAAAGACCCGGAACGCTTCTTTAATGTAAGTTTCTCTAAAATTCGAAAAAGAATGACACAGAAAATACTTACTATATCTTTGTTTATAGAGCTACAGTTGCATCCGCTGCTGCGTCCATCGTAAATCCAAATGCCTTTACTTTCGCCTGTGTAAGTAAATTAAATATCCGCTTGCTAAAAAATAATGTTTTTTCTCACTTTTCTTTTACGTTTATCTAGATGCTATCTTGTTTCGGGGTCTTTCTTGTATCAAGTTTAGCATTTTCAATGATTGAATATCAAATACGATTCCATGAAGAAGCTCGCACAAAAATTACAAATTTATACACTGAACTCATTAAAGCTCGAGTTTCATCAACATATTCATTGGATTCTAGGAAATCTGGAGAATATGCGGATGCAATTAGAGCGCTTGGACGAACCCTTAAGTGCACTTGCTTTTAAATTTTTTAGTTTGCTATCATCAATAAGTTTTTTTTCGTAGGCAACTTTTTACTTACATTTACAATATATTAAACATGTTGTTATTGTGTAACTATTATATATAGTTTGAAAATAGTTAACTATATACTTTTAAATAAATATTGTATTGTCATGTTGCAAATAATAATTTATCATTTGAATATTCTATTCGACCTATTAATCTCAATGAATAATTAAAATCTATAAGTACACTATTTTGTATTACCGATACACTGTTTTTTTTGCTCAAGTTCGTCTTGAAAAGACAATGTTAATTTTTTTTATTAATTTATTTTTTTTTTTATTGTCTTATTTGCCATAAAACTTTGGATAAAAAATGTGTAAAAATAATAAAGTATCAAATTTTAGAACCTGGGGAAATCACGTTTAATTAATATGAATAATACCTTGATTTGTGGAATTTAACGAATTAGATTTAATTGAGGTTTGAGGAATTTATATAATGAATTAATAGCAATATATCTTAACTATTCTTTTTTTTATTTTTTTTTTTAATAGTTTATGAAAAGATATTATTTAGACAACAAAAAATATTCAAAAAAAAAGAAATCTTTCAATACCGTACCGCACTGCACAGGATATCCCCTTTTAAGAGTACCCCCACGTTAAAAGACCCGGGTATAATATACAGCTTAAATTTTTTAATTCTGGTAAAAAAAAGGCTAATTTTGGCCGTATATCGCACAAAGTACCCGCGGGTACTATATAATTTTTAAAACAGGTATTTTGTATTATACCCGGGGTATCTTATTCAGTGCGGTACGGTAAATAAACTCTTAATGTTAATTACTAGGTTTTAATGAATTTAAAAATAATATATTGACTAGCATTTAAATTTTGTTATTGATTAATTTTTTAATTAATTTTTTTAATTTTTTTCGTTAATCTTGGAAAGTTTTTTTTTTTTTTATTTTTCAATAAACTAACTTTATGATATTTTTTCTTTTTTTTTAGAATTATTATTAATTTTTTTTTTTACTGGTTTCAAGTTATAGATAAATTTGTAGAAGAGTTTAGGAGTCTTTTACGATTTCTTTTCTTTAGTTTTTGATTCGATTTTTAATTGATACTGCGCCACGCAGCTGATGATCGGCAAATCATGAAAAAAAAAGTGCGAGAATTAGTATATTTTATATGAATGTCACTTTGCGTTGTAATAATTTTGTATAAAGGGGACTGATCTTGAAAAATCAAGGTAAGAGAATTTTTTAGTTAAAATTTAAAAAGTTATTGTATTTTAATCTAGTCATATCAAAAAAGTATAATTCAATAAAAACCTCAATTTTGAAAAAAAATTCTTTAACCTTGATCTTCCTAGATTCAGGCCCTAATATTTATTATATTACGAAATATTCTAAGTGATAAAATAAACAATTTCCTCTATTTATTATTTTCAATATAATTTTACTATAATTTTACTATAAATTAACATAGAGTGTAAGTTTAGTAATCATGTGGCGTGGCTCGGTAGATGATTTGGACATTCGGAAAGTTGTCCAATAAACAAGAATGTACCGAAAGTTACCTAGATGTTATAAAATGGAAGGATGTAAAAGAAGGGTTTCAGAAGAGAATGAGTTTTATTTAGAAAAAAATACGAGTACCTAGTGAGGTAGTAATAATATTGCTGTATTTTATGGTTCGTTTTTAATAAAGGAACGCTGGTCATTTCCGATTCTCAATTATATGTCAAGTTTACCGAATTTATTTATTCATTTTCTGTTATCGCTAATAGTAATAGTACAAAAGTCAATAAAGTCACATTATCAAAGGTTAAATAATTTGCACTCTGGCGGTCAATCAAAATATATACAGTAAATTTATAATTTTTTTCACATTTACACGTATGTGCCAGAAATTGCTGTAAGACAAATTAGTTAAATTTTGTTCTGGGATTTTTACTGGCCTTGATAAGAATTAAAAATCGTACCAAATAACTTTTTTAATGTCATGTTATTTTAGTATCATCTAGTATCACTATTTATTGTGGGCAATGAACCAAACGTAATAATGGGGGTCTTCACAAAAAACGTGATTGAGATTGAGATTGAGATTTCATATAGAATTTTCAATCTTAATATGTTAGTAAGATTGAAATTCTATACTAAATTTCAATCTCAATCTCAATCACGTTTTTTGTGAAGACCCCAATGTGAGCATATTTTAAAGAATGTTGTTAATTTGTTCTCCAGGTGAAAATACTCAGGCGATGGGACATCACCTGTAAATAATTTGCATAATTTCAGTTTCAGTTTCACATGTATAAAAATTTTTAATAATTGATAACACTTGTATAAAAACTAACTTTTCCTGAGTTAAATAACCACATCCACAAAAATAATTTTACATATTGTATTAATTGATTGAATTTTTTTTTATTTATAATCTAAAACATATTTTATAGTGATTGGAAAATTTTATCTATAATCCCGTTTCATCAAAAAGGTCTGGTTTACGTGATTTGAACTTCACCATCAAAATCAAAATAATTGAGATTAAAACAAACCAAAGTCAAAATATGCAAGATCAGCCCCAAAGACAGAATTAAATAAATGAGATGAGAACGAAACCGAAGATAAAAATATACAAGATTAGAACAAATAAATGCAAACACAAAATTAAATGAGATCAAAATGGAACCAAAGATAAAAATGAATGAAAAGATAAAAAAACCAAAATCAAAACATAAACGTAAAATGAGATTAAAAGTAAAATCACAAAGTATAAAGAAAATAAAATTGAAAAGATTCTAACCAGAGAAAATAAAAACCAAAAAAGAAACCAAAGAAACCCAAAAAAGAAATCCAAAGAAGAAATCGAAGGAAAACCCGATAGAAAAAAATAAACCGAATGAAAAATGGTTAGTTACTATAAAGTGGAAAGAAAATAGACTTCTGAAATTCCTAAAAGCCTGAAACTCACCGTTTACTAGGATACCGAAGTTGAAAAATCTACAAAAAAATAAATAAATAAAATAGTTAAATAACAAATAAAAAGAAAACGAATATAATGAAAAAAAAAGTTACCTCTAAGAGTCTAAGAAGAGAAAAGAAAGGACGCTAAAGGGCGTTAAAGGAAATTAAAGGACGTTAAAGGATGTTAAAGGACGTTTAAAAAATAGACTATCCATATCTGATAGATATTATATTATCGCCTGAGTTATATTAGCCGAGCGAAAACTAGTTATAATGATAAATCAAATTGAGATTCAATTTTCAGGAGTTGTACAATTTATTTAGTATTCCACAAGAAACAACAAAAGAACCAAAAATAACATGTAAATCATTCCTTTTTTTAAATAATTGTTAATTACACAGCTATAGACTCGAGGTGAACTATAAGGATAACTCCTTTGTCAATGGACCTATTGAAACAATAATAAAGTAAATTCTTATTATTAAATAATACATATATGATTATTTGCACAACCCAATAAAAAAAGATAAAAATTCCTTAATTATCTAACTTTATATAAGCAAGTTTATCGTCCAATAAAAAATTACTATGCAATTTCAGGTTTCGGTTAGGATTTCGTATACATTAAGTATTATTAAATCACGTTTCTCGAATCAAATGTATTGATTTTATTGGGTGTAACTACTATTCATATATTTTAGTTAAATTCAACCCTATGTTTTTACAAATTGATAATTCTCTCCTCAATAATCTTTAAAAATAAAAAGTGACCATAAGCGACTTTTTTTTCAAAAACCAGTAAGTGTTGTTACTTGTTACTGTATAATAATGTCTAAATGGAAATTATAGAAAATTACGTTGTCTGTAAAATTAAACAATTAAATATTAATATTAACTAAAATAAGAAATCAAGTACTTTATTTAATTTATTAAAAAAGTCATAAAAATTGCCAAATATAAAATATAATCGCATATCTTTATGAATTTTTGGTTATAATTTTTTGTTGAATGAAATACTTTTTATTATTACAGTATTCATATTATTTAACAGTATTTGGTATTGCTGATAAAAAATTTACGTCAAAATGAGTAAGTACAATTTTATAAATTTGAATTTAATATTACAATATTCGTTTTTATAATTAACAAGTATTAAGTAAGTAATGTGAAATAAAAATTTGACGAATATCAGATATCTGAATTCTAATTATTTTCTTTTAATAATGAAAAACCTGATAAAAATCATTAAAAATTGCTACATACTCTGTACGTGGAACTTAAATTTTTGTGATGACAAATAAATTCGAATAATTAAGTTACGTCATTTAAAAACATTTTGCAATACCTTTCAGTGTGTTGAGATATAATTAGAATCTAAGAGTATAACTTAGTGGAAATATCTTTATAAAGTATTTGACGTAATTAATAAAAATTTCAACATAGAAGAAATACAAACTAGAAGTAAGGAAACGGAAATAAAGTGATGAAATTATTTGTACAAAAGTGGAAAATAAAAAAAAAAAAATCCTTTGCATATAAAATAAATAATTATGTATGACAAATAGGCTCTTTAGCAAAGTTCATTACAATAAACATTAAATATAACAATTACACTCGCATATTATTATTATTCCAAAATTATATAAATTATGCAAGAACAATCGTCTTTTTAGAACAAAGTAATTTAGCTCTATTAATTATGTATTAAAATCATAAGACATCGAGTTGCTTCCTAGACACTATGCAAAAAATATTTACAAGTTTTGATGTTCTATGACTTTATTGGTTAAAGACATTTAAAGGTATTATATTGTAAAAAAATGTCTAGCGTGGAAAATTTTTATGTTAGAAATTACAGTTTTTTTTTTAGAAAATTAGAAAAAAAAATTTCTTTTCATTTTATTTATTTATTTATTTATTTATTTACTTATTTAGAAAATTAGAAAATATCATTTTTTTATTTCATTTTTATTTTTTTAAGAAAAATATTTTTATTTCATTTTTTTCGTTTTTCGTTTTTTTTGTTAAGAAATTAGAAAAAAGTATTGTATCAGTAATCCACATTTTTATTTTTTTTTTATTATTATATAAGTTTCTATTATTAGAGTTTAAATTAAATTTTTTTTTGAAAGAAATCACTCCAAAAAAAAAAATNAAATTTCAACATAGAAGAAATACAAACTAGAAGTAAGGAAACGGAAATAAAGTGATGAAATTATTTGTACAAAAGTGGAAAATAAAAAAAAAAAATCCTTTGCATATAAAATATTTTTTTTTCATTAGAAAATAAAGTCATTTGGAATGGTGTAAACAATGGAATTTAAATGTGACAGTATATTATTGCTATGTCCAACATCTCTCTATATACAGTACCCAAGTCCAGGTTCGTTTAAGTCTCTAGAATGTCCAGCGGTCTAAAAACAAAAAAAAAGAATGTTATTATATTTCTTAATACAATCGAAAATATAACTCTTTATATAGTACTTCCAATAATCTGGATTCATTTAAATCTTCGAGAGTTTGATCCTACAAAAAGGAAACCCAGTGTGGTACAAAAAAAAATAAAATACAAAATAATAAAAAAACCCCCAAATAATAAAAGGTTAAAAAAATAATAAAATAAAGACTTTTTTAAAATAAAAAAAGGGAAAACTTTGAAAACTTTTAAATAAGAGAAATCGGGTTAACTTACAAAAAATTTAAGAGAAAAAATACTGAAAAAATGTTAAAAAAAAATTTTGAAGATAAATACCTTCAAAATGACTTTAAAAATTTATTTTCGGTAAAAAAAAAATTATTTTATTTTCGGTAAATGAAAATAAAAAACGGATCAAAAAAAAAATTATTCTTTGGTATGAAATGATCTGACGGACAAGCTCCCATTGATGAGGGTTATGAAGCCCAACAGACAGCTCTAACGGATAAGGTCGTCTGAAAAAAATAAAAAAAAATGATTAAAAAAAAAAGAACCAAAAAAAAAATCAGATTTAAAAAGAGAACAAAAATATAATTTGAATAATTCGGTTTGAAAAAAAATTTAAAAAATTCCACATTCTGTCATTCCAAAAGGATGGGAAAGAAATATTAATTAAAAAAGAACCAATCAAAATTACATTAACCGCAGACATATCACGTTTCCATGTAAATTATTTAGGTAGTGGGATAATTATTCATGTACTGGTTCTATAATAATCTCTTTATATATAGAACCAGTACGGTACGGTACAGAATGATTATCACAAAAATTGATCAACTGTACCGTACTGGTTTGCAAATTCGTGCCGTACTGGTTATATATATATTCAAATTATTTATACTGCTAATTTACAAATTCACATCGTAAAATTTAAATAAAAAAATTTTCTTTTTTTTTTTTCTTTTTTTTATTAAATAATAAAATTAAGATGATTAGTTAGCTACATTTATTTTATATTAGCGAATTAAATCATTAAATAAAAATTCATAGAATACAAAATTTTTTTTTTAATTATTTCACATCACAGATTTTTTATTAAAGAGTATATATAGTACGCTTAAATTATTCATATGGAATAAATCCATTTTCAAACAAAAATCCTATATTATCTTTTCAAAAAATTTAATTTTTATTTGCAGAAGAAAACAACATTATAACATGGAATGATAGTTCCTAATTCTTATAAAGTAGTAGATAACAGATCTTATTTTTTTCTTTTTCGGTAATAATGATGTATTCTAAATCTATTCAGTTTTATTTAATGTGAAGATTCTAAATTTCTTAAACAATTTGTTAATTCTGGTCATGCTTTCGAAAGAAGCTGAAATTACTTTAAGAATAGTGAATGGTGAAAGAGCTATTATCATTACTTTAGATCTGCTAAAGGTTCTCACTACTAATTTATTCGCCAAGTATTCTTTATTATACGAAATAATAAAGAATAAAAATACTTTATAAAAATTAAAGATTATAAACAACAAAATTGTAAAAATATAGCTAAACGCTATAGTTAATATATCAATCCATATAATTTATATCATTGCTCTTTAGTATGTAAAAGAATCTCTGAGTGAAAGTTCAACTTGATGAGTTAACTCAAGATGCAAAGTGCATGTTTAGGTTCTAAATTAAAGAGTTTGGAAATAACTAAAAAAAATTTAACCGATTAGAAGCTGTTTAACCAAGGGCCTTAATCAATTAATTAATCGATTAATATTAAAAAATTTTTTTGGCTGCAGTTTGTACCAATTTGTTTTTACCCATATATTTAACTGCACGAAGCCATATTTAATTAATTTTACTGTATTATTAAAACATTAATAAAAAAATCCGTTTATTAAAAATTCGAGTTTGGAGAATATGTGACCGAAATTTCACCTTGCATTATAGAATCATGATTTAGACAATTTTAATCAATTAACCGATTTTTGAGATACTCGTTAACCATATTAATCATCTATTAATATTAATCGGTTCAAATCTCTAAAGTAAAAGGCCGATACTTTCTATCATAAAGAATATTCTTTTTATTTCGCAATAATTAACAATTTATTTAGAACCATTTTTATATAACATACACACGAAATAATTTATTAAGCCGCAATTAATGCATGAACTCTAGTGGTGTGTTCTGCTGTAATAAGGTGCCACAGAAAAATAATTTTACATTAATAAACTTAATTATCAACCACTAATAATTATTAATATTTTAGATAATTTAATATAATATTTATTAATAAAAAAATAAATATTTTAAAATTTACTACAATGTTAATCTTCAAATAAAAATAATAAATAATATGAGCTTTACTATATTTCCATCAAAATTTTCCAAAATAATATTAAAAAATATCCTCGCTCTAGTTCAAAATAAAATTATATCTGATGTTGTTTTTTAATATACTAAATATTTTCAATTAAAGTAAATAGGTTTTAATTTTCTTCTATAATAAAAAAAAAAATAGTTTAATTAAAATTTAATAATACTGTATATCCAAATGCAAAAGAAATTAATTACCTTTAGAATTAATATTAAGTTTAGTAAAATCCATTTTTAAGGAATCTGTAAAATAAAAGAATAATTATTACTCTAAATAGATTTAAATAATTATTTTTAATTAAAATTACCTGAATATTCTAAATCATCATTATCCGCATTTTTGGGTTCTGGAAGATTTTTAAAATCCAAAAGTTTACTTGTATAAACTGCTTGAGAGTGTGTTGTATATAAGAGATTACTAGTAGTTGATAATGGTGATTGAACCATTGAAGATAATAACTTTTTATTATTATCATCTGTTTCTTCAACTTGCCTATAAATTACAGAATCCCTTTTTTTACAATCATACCATAAACTATAAAATAACGTATATAATTCACGTGCATTAGGTCGTTTTAAAGGGTCTGCATCCCAACATTGATTAATGATGTCAAAAATTAATTGAGGAATTTCATAATTAGACTTTGGCCTCAACCCCTTACAAATTTTCATTGCTAAGAAATCATCATGAGCTATATCATAATAAGGAGGAAAACCTGTACAAATTTCGTATGCAATAATTCCATATCCATAAATATCACTAGCTTGTGTATATTCTTTTCCTCTTAAAACTTCTGGTGCTACATAAGGTAATACTCCATATGTTTTTTTATTACTATTTTGAGAGGATTTGACATTTGCTGGTTGACATAATCCCAAATCAGTAATAAAAGAACTCTTATTAAAATTGCCTAATATATTCCCACAATGAAAATCATGATGAATTAATCCTTTATCATGAATATCTTTAAGACCACCTGTAATACTATATAAATTCCACAATTTTTGCTTCCAATTTAGTGAAATAAAATTGTCATTTAAATGTTGTCTTAAACTACCATTTTTAAATTCCATTACCATCATAAAATTATTTGTTTTTGGATCTTTGGTAATACCAAAACAACGAACTGTATAACCAGAACAATATACTAAAATATTTGATTTAACCTTAAAATAAAATTATAGTTAGTTTACCATTTATAAAAGGCTAATAAAGATTCATAAGAAAATATCTTACTTCTTTTAAAAAATCTGCTGTAATGCCTTGTGAATTATATAAACATTTTAAAGCAACTTTTGTTTCACTTTCTCTTCTCCATTGATTATTGTCACAACTCAATATAGGACCATCTTTCCAAACTGCTTTAAAAGTAGTACCAAATCCCCCTTTTGCTAAATATTCAACATCTTCAAATTTATCATATTCAATCCACTCTACGATTTGATCCAGACGTTCAGCTTCCAATTGTGCTTTTTTAATAAATTCGTCAACGTCATGATTTCCACTTGTTCCATTTTTGAAATTTTGTTGAAATAAACAATAACTACACAAAAAATGAAGCCTCTTAGGCTGCTTACAATTTTTACATAAACCATTTTTTTTATAACATTTTTTTAATTTTTTGTCTGTTATTAGTTTATCAATTAACGATTCTTGTTCTTCAGTCAAGTAATGATGTCGAAAATCTTTTATTTGTTCAATTATATCATCACTTAATACAATTTCAGCCATTTAATAAATAATTTATTAAACAAAAATAAGTTATTAATTCGTATGTAAAAACTACAAAAAAAATAATAAAAAAAAAAAGAAAAAAAAAAAAAAATAATAATAAATTTGCACATACTTTCTTTCTACTAATTCCACAGTAAACTAAAGATCGCCAAAGAGTTGGAATAGAAACCAACTTTCCTGTCTGTTGCTCAAGTTNAAAGAAAAAAAAAAAAGTGGTGAAACGTTACTTTATGTTGCAAGGATTCCAAGATCGGCAACAAAATTATCAAAAAAGACTATTTAAGATCACACAGAAACACAATAATCTTGATCGGCAATTAAATTTATTCAATTTTGGCAATGTGAGTTTAAGTTAAACTTTTTACGAATGTTGATTATTCTAACCAAAATAGAGTTTGAAAATTTGAGAAAGAATTCGTGGAATTGATATCGTATTAACAAAAATCTGAAAATAATTTATAAAGAATTGCGAATAAAAAAAAAAACTTTATAATATATCTTTATAATATATATATACTGTATATATTAAAACAAAATTATTTTGAAATATTTATAAAATCTTAGTTTTTGACTTCAATTTTCACTAAAATTTTCATTTTGAAAATGATTAAATAAATAAAATAAAATCACATCTTTTAATAAAAATGTGAAATTTTAATATTTAATAAATTCAATAAATTATTGATAGACCTTTATTTGGAATTCGAATTAAATATAAAATATTGCACTTTCGAACATATCGTATAATTTGAGATTCAGTTTATTTCTTCGAAAGGAATATTAATAATGTTCACATGATATAGTTTAACTTAGCTATAACAGAAAGTTAAGCATATTAATACTAAAAATAGTAATAATATTTGTTGGGTAAATAACAATACAAATATTAAGAAGTGTTTAATTTCAAAATATATTAATTTCGCAAAAAAAAAAAAATCGTCAAAATTAATAAAAAAGAATAATCAATCTATAATCATTAAAAAAAAATAAAAAAATTCTTTCGTGACTGTTGATCATTTTTTGTTTGATTTCTGACGAAAAAATAATTTCAGAAAATTATACTTTTGATAAGATAATTAATTATTATTAAAAAAAATACACTAAACTTGCAAAAAAAATTTGTCAGATTTTGTAAATCGTAATAAACAAGTACTACCAAGAAGACCTACAAACTTTACAAACTTTGAGACGATCCAGTCGATCCAACCTTGATTACAACTACACCTCCGTCACAGAGTCACTTATACGACATCGGTGGCTCGAATTATTCTTCCTCTATATACGCTACTTATGACGGAAGTTGTTTTATATTACATAGTTTTACTTTTTAACCATATAGATGATAGAAATTTGTTCTGCGTCCGGTTTCAAAATTCAAATTATAAAATTATTTTTAGTTCTTTTTAACTTATACCTTGGTTAGGGCGTGTCTCTTATACACATCTAGATGTGTATAAGAGACAGTCCTTAGGGTGTACCTGCCATTTTCATTTTTTTTTGGGTTCGATCAAGGTGGCGCCGCCACTATCGCTGTCTGGTCAGAAGAATTTATTGTTAGACATTATATAGTTCTACTAGTAATCAGTCAGGATAATATAAATCTAGAATCACGTACCTGTAGCAGATGTAGTTTGAAGAGAAATGAATGATCATCTAGAAAATGTTTGTTAAAATTAAAGAAATAAAAATTATTTCTTTTAGGAGAAAAATGTAATTTTTTTATAAATAAATTTTCTGAAGAACGAACAATCATGTTATGTATACTTACTCAATATTTAGATATTTTTCAAATTATGGAGACACATCAAAACTTATTATTGAACCCATGAAACCATCAATTTTTGGATTCACGTTATACAATATATTTATAAAAGGCAATGGGATTGTAAGATAAATATATTGATTTATCTTTAAATATAAAATGTATTAAATTTCTTAAAGAGTACTTTTGTTTAATCTATTTACTAATTCTTTTTAACCAAATAAAGTATCGTAATTTTTCCACATTACCCGTTTTCTTTTGTTTCTAAAATGAGTTTCAATGAGTATTAAGTCGTATATATAGTTCTTATTGTGAGAAAAAAAAAATTTGTTGTCAAAACGTTTGCCGTAGTTATAAATTTTATATCAAAAAATGTAGATTTTAATAGATTTTACGTTAGTTACTCATAATATAAAAAAGTTTAATCTAACTTTATTTTAATAGTAAATCAATAACCACCTATTATTAAGAAATCGTGAAAATCTTAATACAACGATCCTTGCTTATTGTAATATGCTGCGCCACAACTACAACTTTCAATTCCTTTAGTATTCCTTGTTGTATCCATCCTTAGAATTCTATAGTTTGGACATGCCACTACATCATAATTGCAAGAAATTATTTAATCTATGTTTTATTACTTTTTGGAATAAATTTTAATAATATTATTTTATCTAAGTAAATTATGATATTTTAAAATTTTTATTTTACTAGAAATAAATTTATTTTTTTTGTTTTATTCATAATATTTTGAGCACAAAATTTTATTGAGTTACAATATTTTAGAAATATTAAAAACTCAAAAAAAGGTTTAAATACTACAGTATATATATATATATTTTTTTTTGGAAACACTAAAAGAAAAAAACAAATCAATTATCAATAAAAGTTCACGTTATATAAAAAAGTTGTTAAAACAAAAATTTTAATTTTCTGATTTCATTACAATTTTTTTACAAACAGTTGAAATTTCCTAATTACTTTAAAAGATTAAATATTAATTGTACTTCCATTTATTTAATGATTAAATAACTTAGTTGAATCACAGTAATTCAACCATAAAAGAATATCACTATCAATAACAAAACGCTCCAAAAGATAATAATTCCTAGATTTTAAAAAAATCTTATAAAATATTGCTTTTTTGTGTAACAATATTTTATTTTGTGATCATCAGCTGATTTAAACTTTGTCGATCACTGCAGTACAACATATGAAGGCGTAAATTTTTTTTTTTAAAAAAACAATCCTCTTTTACATAAATTGACCAGTAATCTAATATGGAAGAATTTAAGCTCAGTGATGATGTAATTGAACAAATAAAAGATTTTACACATAGGGAATTAACAGATGAACAAAAATTGTTAATTGATAAGTTAATATTAATTGAAGAATTAAAAGAACGTTATAAAAATTATGGTTTGTGCAAAGAATGTAAACAGCCTAAGACTTATCATAATTGGTGTAGGTCATGTAATGCTAAACATTTTCAACAAAATTTCAAAAATTGGACTAGTGGAAATAATGAAGTTGATAAGTTTATTCAAAAAACACAACTCAAAGCTAAATATCATGAAGAAATTTTAGAGTGGATTGAATATGATAGATTTGAAAATGTTGAATATTTGGCTAAAGGAGGATTTGGAACTATTTATAAAACAACATGGAAAGATGGATGTATAGATGAATGGGATTCTGAAAATAATCAATGCATAAGAAGTAAACAGTGGATAGGTCATGAAAATTTTCCAGTTGTTTTAAAATGTTTACATAATTCTCAGGATATCACATCCGAATTTTTAAGAGAAGTAAGTTACTTGTATATAACTTTCAAACTACTGTTACAATATAAATGTTAAACTTACTATTATTTATTATTATTATGGATTCTTTTTTAGATTGAATCACATACTATAATTATTTCAGATTGTGTAACTCGATGTTTTGGCATTACTAAAGATCCAGAATCTAATAATTTCATAATGGTAATGGAATATGCAGAACATGGTAGTTTAAGACAATATTTAAATGATACATTTAATTCAATAAAATGGGTAGATAAGTTGCAAACTTTAAAGCATATTGTACAAGGCCTTGATTCTATTCATGAAAAAGGATTAATTCATCGTGATTTTCATTGTGGTAATATGTTAAAATTTAGTGATAATTTTACTATTATTACTGATTTAGGATTATGCCAACCAGCAAATGTAAAATCTTCTCAAAATGAATATGAAAAACAAGTATATGGAGTATTACCTTATGTAGCGCCTGAGGTTTTAAGAGGAAAAGAATATACTCAAGAAAGTGATATTTATGGACTTGGAATTATTGCATATGAAGTCTGTACAGGGCTTCCTCCTTATCATGATATTTCTCATGATAAAATCTTGGCTATTAGCATTTGTCAAGGGCTTAGGCCAAAATCTAATTATAAAATCCCTCATCTAATTTTGGACATAATTAAACAATGTTGGGATGCTGATCCTTCAAAACGACCTAAAGCAAATGAATTACGTGATTTATTATATAATTTATATGATGAATTACATGATAGTGATGATAGTGAAATCAAAAAGCAAGCTGAAGAAGCAGAAAGAATTAATGAAAAGTTTACTTCTACTTCATTACCATATAATGGTACTACTCTTTCATATACTACAAATCCTCAAGCAGTTTACACAAGTAGGCTTTTAAACTTTAAAAATCTACCAGAACCAAAAAATGCTATTGATAACAAAGATGACGATAATTCAATTGGAAAATATTCAGGTAATTAATATCCTAGTTTATATTAAAAAAAGTATTCTTGAGATACAATTATTTTTTATTTTCCAGAATCCATAGAAGATTCCACTAAACTCAATCTAGGTACTCATTTACATTAACTTGCTTTTTGCATGATTAATTTTACTAATAATATTAACAATTTACTTTAATTTGTTCTTATAGATGAAGACAACTAGGGAAGAAAATTTACAAATATTCAAAATATAAATTTCTTTATTTGTGTCTATTATTTTACTATTTATTTTTTTTATCATTTTTACAGTATATGTATTTTATTGGAATATATTATTATGATTAGAATTTTATAAATAAAGTTTTTTATAAATTAAAACCAAACATAAATAGGATGAATTACTATATGTACTGTATATTATAAAATTTTAATGAAGTAATAAATTACATTATCATTATTTATATTTTTTTAACTTTATAGTCACATCTTCAAATTTAACATTATATAGTTTAACTCTTCTAATATTCCTTGTGTATTTCCTCTTTAGAATTCTTGAATTTGAACGTAATATTTATGATTGGTATTTCTTGATTGTTGTGTTGTCATCATATGTTGAATTGTCAAACTGAAGCATGCTGCAAATAATAAAGTTTTTTTCAATTTAATTTATGTTTTTACTACATTTTGAACATACTTACTCATTCATGTACCATTATGTTTTTACTTTATCAGATATTTAGATAACCTCATGATGTAATTTTTACATTTGTAAGATTATTAAATGTATTTTACTTTACAAAATTATATGCAGTCATACCTAAATCATCATATTTTTGAACTATAATGTTATGTAGTTTAAATTCATTTACTTCATTTTTTTAAAAAAATAATTCTTCATCATTACCTTCATCATCATCTTCTTCATAATTTTTATGATCTGTCTCTAAAAAAGCCAAATATCTAACCCTTTCTTTTTTCATGATATATTCTTTTACATAATATGAAATATTTTCACTTTTACCATTTTGAATTATATTTATTATATTTCCAATTAATAATTTCTCTATAAAAGTATTTTGTGAATTTTTTAAAAATATTATCAAATCATTTATATTAAATAGAAGAATCAAACATAAATGTTCTAATTTATAAGGAAGAACTTGTCCTAAATTTTTTAATAAAGTTGAACTAGCAATATTCATCATAATTTGTTGTAAACATCCAATTCAATATTAAGATAATTAATATTTTTATTCATTACTTTTAATTAATACCAAATTTTGTAATATTATTGGGCTGGAGTTCCCTACAAAATAGAAAACAAATAATTAAATTTTTTTAAACTAAAAAGTTATTGGTATGATAACCTACCAGAATATTTGGTGTCTTCAGAGTTCAGAGCTAGATTCCTATAAAAATATTTTTATTTTTATTTTTAAATTACAAAGCGAACCAAAATACAGTGAAATTTAGATTCCTATAAAAAGCCTAAAAAGAAATAATGAATAAAATGTCAGTTAATAAACAATTTATTAAAATAAAAATTTAAAGAAAAACCCACATGCAAAATTCCAAATGTATAAAGATCATAAGAGCCAATCTCCTAAAGAAAAAGAAAAAATAAAAATAAACATAAATTTTGGTAAATAATAGATTAAGATAAAGTCCATTAAAAACCTACAGAAAACAGAACTCCAGATCAAAATTGCGTCTCACGCTCTGACCCGTCTAAAAAAAGAATGAATGAAACGTTAGAAAAACATTTCATTAAAAGAGAACCTTCTCTTCTTACCAAAATCTAATATGTCCAATAGCTGAAACAAAGATAAAATCTAAAAAAAAAAGAAAAATTAACACCACGAACAAAAAAAATCTAACAAAATAATAAAAAAAGTGCTACTTCCATTTTCACAAGAGAGCCTCCAAAATGAAATGAAACCTAAAAAAGTAAGACATTAATAATGTTAGTAAAGAAACAGGAAAAAAAAAGAAAAAAAAATAAACACCCACCTGGCCGTCTCCATATTTTCAGTAAACTTTATTTTTTTTTTCTTCTTGGGATATTGTATCTTAGAATTTTACGTTTCTAAAGTTAACGAAAGGGGAGGAAAAGGAAGAACAAAAGAAAAAGAACAAAAGAGAGAAAGTTTAGTTAAAAAAAAAATCAGAGATCGAATATTAATAATATTTCACGTAATACACGTGATATACAATTTTAGAGTTTTTCACAAAATGTAATTCCGTCGATCAAAATAACAAAATTTCCCTCTTTACCGGTGTTGTTTAGAGTTTGACATGATAGTATAATGGTTCTTGAAGGACAGGGCAATTATACAGTACTATGCTTCGTTCAATAAAATAAATTAAGTTTATTTAATAGTCTCATTAAGTTTAATTTTTTTGACTTCATATTACCCTAGTATATAAAACACATCGTAAATAAAACATATATAAAAAATACACTAAAATTGCAAAAAAAATTGTCAAATCTAATTAAAAAAGATATTATCCTATTGTTCTATTGTACTCTTTTTAATTATTCAAATTATTTGAAAAAAAAATCGAATTTCCCATAATTTGATTTGATATGTCAGCGTTGAAGTCGTTGAACGGGCCAAAATAATTGACAATTCTAGTCAGGAAATTATTTCCTTTTTTAAAAACTGGCTGGCATTATTATAATTCCGGCCCCGAAAGAGATGATAAATTCTTTTGGCTGCACTTTAGGTCAAATGTAAATTCTTAGACTTTATTTTTACGTTATTAATCCATTCTGTACCCGTCAATAATTTCGTAATCAGACTTATCAGAGAATTTTATTTCTATATTTGAAAGGAATTATTTATTTTAATGGTTTATTTGTGAATTAAATATTGCACAATTCGTTACACTGATTTTTTATTTGAATTGTAGATTTGTAGAACCAGATCCTGAATTTGTCCTATGACCAATGTAACAGGGAAAATGAGATCGGCGACCCGGGTTACCATGTGACTCCTACTGTCCTCCATGATTATCAATAAGATTGAAAGATCAAAATCAATGAGATTGTTTACTTTTTGTTTATATTTTGTAACACTAATTTTAGTTTTCGTTAATTCTTCATTTTTTTTTCTTTCTAAACTTATAATTTTACTTTATTTGTAAATTCGTATGATTTTTTTCTTATTTTAGCAGTAATTTTTTCTATTATTTTTTTTATTTTAGTCTGGTTTTTTTTATTATACCATTTTTTTAGCTGAGCTTTATTTTTGTTTTTGTTTCATTTTGGGTCGGATTTTAATTCATTTCTTTTTTCTTACTTTTTGTTCCATTTTTTTAGTTTGAATTTTTTACTTTCATTTTTTTCTTCAGTATAAATTTTTGGAAAACATTTAATTATCTTTATATATAAAAATCTTAGGATCTTATTTGTCAAATTATCAATTATCTGAACCAAAGATTTTTCATAAAACCCGTACTTCCCAATATTTACAAACCATGGAACAATCAAGCATAGAAGAACAAAAGTATGGAAAATGTATGGAATGCAAAAAATTGGGTAAACTAATGCGAACATCAATCTTAGGTCCATCAATCTTATGTCAGATTTGTGATTCAAATTTGAAAGCACAAAAATTTGGAAGATGTATAGAATGTAAACAAGAAAATACAGGACATAATTGGTGTCAAACTTGTAATTCAAAAAGGTTTCAAAATGATTTTAATAATTGGACTAGTGGTAATGATGATATTGACAAATTTATTCAAAATACTCAATTATCAGCATGGGATAGTTATCAATTATTAGAGTGGATACCATATGATAAATTTTCAAAAGTTAAATATATTGCAAAAGGTGGATTTGGTCAAATTTATAAAGCAACATGGAAAGATGGTTATATATTTCATTGGGATGTTAGTAAAAATCAATGGAAGAGATTTAGCGAAAAGAGTAATAAATTTGTAGCTCTTAAAAGTTTGAATAAATCACAAAAAATTACATATGAATTTATTAATGAGGTAAAGGATTAAATTTATTATTAATTAAATTGAAATAATTTTGTTTGTTAATAAATTTATTTTAAATAATTTAGATTACATCACATATTAAAGTATTTAGTTTTAAATCATTGGATCAAATTATTAGATGTTATGGAATATCTCAAGATCCAGATACGAAAGAATATATTATGGTTATGCAATATGCTAATAAAGGAAGTTTACGAAATTATTTGAATGAAAAGAATAAAAAGATATATAATGAATATAAAAAGAATAAATATTATGAAACTAATTTGGATTTAAATTTGCAAATATGGGGATATAAAGTTGGTATTTTACGAAATATTTCAATTGGACTTAGAAGAATTCATGATAAAGGATTAATTCATCGAGATTTACATAGTGGAAATATAGTATGTAATAAAGATTTATCTCGTATAACTGATATGGGATTATGTAGACCAGTCAATTATAAGGAATTAGAAACTATGGAGAATAGCGTATATGGTGTTTTACCTTATTTGGCTCCTGAAATTTTAAGAGGACAAGATTATACCGAAGCTTCAGATATTTATAGTTTTGGTATAATTATGTATGAGGCAATTTCAGGATTAGCTCCATATTATGATATTGATCATGATGAATATTTAGTATTAAAGATTTGTGAAGGATTAAGACCTAGATTTAATATTAAAGTACCTCAATTAATTTTACATGTAATCAAGGAATGTTTTGATGCAAATCCATCAAATAGGCCAAGTGCAAACGATCTTTCAAGAACTTTTTGTGATTGGAAAGAAGAACTTAATAAATATACAAAAAATAAGAATTATGATGAAACGGAATTAATTGAAACAGAATTAATTAAACAAATAAATGAAATTAATGATAGTTTATCAAATACTACTTTAACAAATAAAATGCATCCTGGAGCTATATATACGAGTAGATTACTTAATTATAATAATCTTCCTAAACCAAAAAATTCTGATGATTATTATGTAAGTTATGATGATATATCAAGTGTAGAATATTCAGGTATTTAGTAATTTAAATCTTTATAAATACTTAATTAAATTACTTATATTAATTACTTAATTTTTTTTACGTACAAAAGATCTTATAGAATCTGATAGGAGCGAATGCTTGGAATGTGAAGTTACAGATTGATGAACGTAATCATTCAAAGGTTAAATGTTGATTTTTTACTAAAATTTTGTACCATTATTCGAAAATTATTTATTGTTCTGTTTAATACAAATATGTAATAAATTAAATATGAATACAGGGTTAGGAGTGTATTTATTCTAGAAGTTGAATATTTTGTGTAATATAGTATTGCTACAGTTGAATGGTTCAGAGTGGTCATTTTTTTCCTCTTGGAACGTCCAACAAAGTAGTATGTTAAGAATCAATAACCTCGCGTAACAATACCGTCATGTAATTATAATACGAATTATCAAATTATGTAATTTTATACTTAGCTTTTAATAGTCTTTTTAGTAAAATTTTGTTGTAAACCTTAATTATAAATTATAGTAATAAATAAAATATTCTTGATAAATATTTGACTTGGACTAAAAGAATATACTTTTAAGCCAAGAACATATTAAATATTTCATTTTCCAAAAATGGTTTAAATCCATTATAACACTTTCATATACAACCATCATAATTTTTCTTCAATCAACATCGTTAATTTTTTTCCAGTTGACGAGATGTGGCTTCTCTCTTTTTTTACGTATCCTTGACGTCTAACAAATAATTTTTAAAATTATCAAATATTTGTAATTATATTTATTAGTAATCAATAATATTTTAATTATAAAGATTCTTTAATACAGTATAAAAAAAATCAACCATATCAACTTCAATATAATATGCAAAGTGTTTTTATGATAAATTTTTCTGGAATTCATTTAATTCATTATAACTAGAATTTAATTTAAAAGATAGTACAGTGATTATATTGAAAAGGTCAAAATATTTTCTGTATGATCAATTTTTTATTTATATACAAGAACATTAATTTTTTAACAACGACAACACTTAATACATTTCAATAATATATATTTTAAACCATATAAAATGTCTGTTGTTATAATATCATCCAATTTTTTAAAATTTTGTTGAAATCTTTTTGATATACAAGTTTAACACCAATTATGTCCCGTATTTTCTCGTTTGAATTTGAATCACGAGTCTGACGTAAGGATTTGTGAGTCCGATTGCAAGAGTGACTTTCACAAAAGCATATTCTTCTGTTTGTATTCTATACATTTTTCCATACACACGCCAAAATTTACTTAAAATTATGAGGGATGGTTTTTACTGTTTTTGGTTCAGATGATCGACAAAATCGATAAATGAAATCAAGATTTTTATGGCATGAATGGTTATTCCTTATGAGATTCGCTTGTACGTTTTAATAACTGGTTAGGAAAAACTTTTATGACAAGAATGGATTGTTGTAGTATCGTTGTACAAAAAAGTATTTCATCACTAACCAAATATATCTCAAGAATTCCTTACTATGTAATAAAATCAATTTTTGTTAATCTTTCTATTAAATAAAATCATTTTTTATTAATTTTTATAATGATTATATAGTAATAATACATATAGTTAAGTTATTTCTGACTTCCATCTTTAAGTTATGTATTAAAATTTTAAATATTTTTAAAAATGAAAATTTAAACATGATCAAACAAGAAAGCATTGAAAAAGTTTCATCGAATGAACAATTAAATTCACTAATTATAACATTCTTATATTTAGATATATAACAAATAAAAAAGATTTCACAAATGGAAAATCTTCAGACGTCGATAATTATATTTTGACCAGAGTTAACGATCTTTTTCATTCATAATTCTGGCCGACGTTAAAAATTCGGCTTAGACGGAATTAGGTTTACCCGAATCCTAAAGGATCGATAATTGATCACAGAAATTATTTGCATTAAATCTTATTTAGTTAACGCCAAAAGTTTAACCGTCGCTTATTTATTTTTTTAATAATAATAATAATAATAATAATAATAATATCGAATGTTACCTTGATAAAATAATAAATTAATTTTTCCACAAATAGGGATGGACGAGTCCTTATCGCTAACAATACTGTCCTATTCTTCATCCTTATTCTTGCCATAAAAGCTTATAACTCTTTTTCCGAATGAGTTCTCTATGAATCTCAAAAAGTTAATTTTTAAAGGTTCATTCTTACTGTTTATAAAATTATCTCAATTGATAAAGATAGAGTACTCAAATATTCACATTGTATTGCATCTATATTTGGTTACACGGAACCATTTTTTCCATAAAAAGTTTTATTTATCGATTTTTGCTGATCATTTGAACTAATATAAATAGTCACCTGTTTTCCGGTATTGAATAATAAAAATTTAACGGTAAGCTTACCGATAAATTAATTAATTTATTTACACTATGGAACAATTAAATGAAAATGAAATAAAAGAAAGAACTTGCATTTTATGCAAACAAACAAATATTGAAACAAATTCTTTAGAAGATAATCATTCAAATAATAATAAAAAGAAACAAAAATGTTCAGAATGTAAAAAAATAATTATGGGGAATAACTGGTGTCAAACTTGTAATTCAATGAAATTTCAACAAAATTTCAATAATTGGACTAGTGGTAATGAAATTATTAATAAGTTCATTCAAAATTCTCAATTATCAGCAAAAAATCATTTTCAATTATTAGAATGGATACCTTATGAAAAATTTCGTAATATTTCTTATGCTACAGAAGGTAAATTTGGTAAAGTTTATAGTGCAAATTGGAAAGATGGTTATATTACATATTGGAATAAAAAGAAAAATCAATGGAAAAGAGATGGTAAAACCACTGTAGCTCTTAAAACTTTGAATAATTCACAAAATATTACATTGGAATTTATTAATCAGGTATGAATTTTTTATCATATATTCATATACAATATTAATTTATTAATAATTGTCTTTACCAATTAATTAATTATTAGGTTATGTTGCATCTTAAAATTCAAGAATATAAGTTATCAGACCAAATTATTAAATGTCATGGAATTACTCGAGATCCAAAAACAAAAGATTATATTATAGTTATGAATTACGTTAAAATCGGATATTTACCAAATTTTTTGACCAAAAAAAAGAAAAAATTATATAAACAGCACAAATTACATGAAAATAATTTAAATATGAGTTTGAAATTGTGGAGATATAAAATTATGATTTTACAACGTATTTCAGCTGGGCTTAAAAGAACTCATAGTAGAAAATTGATTCTTCGAGATTTTCATATTGAAGATACTGTATGTAATAATTGTATAACTGATATGAGATTATGTAAACCGGAAAATCATAAAAAATTTGAAAACGTGGAAAATAATATGTATGATGTTTTACTTAATTTGGCTCCTGAAATTTTAAGGGGACAAGATTGTACTCAATTCTCTGATATTTACAGTTTTGGCATAACTATGTATGAGATGATTTCAGAATTTACTCTATATAATAATAATAATGCTCATGGATTATGTTTAGTATTAGATATTTGTGAAGAATTAAAGTCTGAGATTAATATTAAAGTACCACAATTATTGTTGAATTTAATTAAAAATTGCTTAGATGTAAATCCATTAGATCGACCAAATGCAAACGATCTATTAAATTTTTTTGATAAATGGTTAAAAGAACTTAATAGGTATATTAAGGGTATAGAAAATCAAGCAGAGGCCACTAAAACAGAATTAATTAAACAAATTGAAGAAATAGAAAAAGTGAAAAATATCAATGAAAATCCATCACCTGATAATATATCGGATAAAGATTATTCAGGTATTAAATAATATAAATTCATTCGCTCTTTTATCTATTGAATCATTTATATTAATTATTAATCCTTTACAGACAACTCTTCAAATGATTCCGAAGATAATGATTTTGAAGAATGTGCAATTCATGATTGAACCTATATACGAAATATTTTGAATTATTTATTTGTTATTATTTATATATATTTTCTAAGATTCTGACGACGATTTTACATATATCGATATATAGTTTTTGTTCAACACTGATTATAGAGTATTATGTAAACTTTATATTTTTATACAAATAAAAATCAGTTTGTAATTGAGCGTAATTATACAGTAATGTAAATATAATAAATAAATTATTAATTTATCATTAATTGGTAAAGTTATAGAGGTTTGTGTATATTAAAAAATTACTTTTTTGAATTTTATTTTTAACTCTTGATTTTCGCGATTGCAGATATATGAAATTATGTTGGGCTGTATCATTTTGGGTGAAAAAAAACGCATTTCCTGTTGATTATGATATCAGCAAGACCATTGGGCATCTCAAGAATGCTATCAAGGAGAAGAAAAGCGTGGCCCTTGGCAATATTGATGCAAACACTCCGAAATTATGGAAAGTTAATATTCCTGAAAGTAAAAAACACGAGATAAATGAGGGAATCGACATCAAAGAAAAATTCAGAGGTGAGAAATTGGACAGCAATCTCAGTACTATTGGAGATCATTTCAAAGAACAACCCCCTAGTAGGCATATCCACATCATCGTGCAACGCCTCCACCCGTTACCACTGGTAAGTGGTTTACCTCTCGAACAAGAAATTCGCGTTATCTTACATCTTATACTTTTTTTATTCGATCAGGAACCATAGGTGGACCACTTCCATTCCAATGAAACGACTTGGTGAATCTCAAGATTCTAACTGTGAATCTGTTGCTCCTTTTGAAAGAGATTTTTGGAATGACCTTCCTAAAGTGCAAATCGTCCTTAAATCATCAGATGGTGTTAACAAATATCAGGAGTTCAGGGCCATTATCCAAATATATGAGAGTTGAAAATAGCGAAATCGTGTTGAATGACTATGTGATGCTAAATTCACAGGATGGGCTAATTGTTGATGGTGAATCTGTGACGGATTCACGGGTTCAATAACAAATTTTGCAAAATTTCTACGTTTTTGTAAATCACCAAATGGAGTATTTGGAATATCAACACAGGGCATATTAATAAAGAAGTCATATTTAGAAATAATTGAAAATATTGAATCTGACCATATTAATCATGATAAAAAAGCATGTACCATAATTGGATCGCCTGGTATCGGAAAAACACATTTTTCAATATATTTAGCTTTTTATATAGCACCGTTGTCGATATCCTTCAGAAGATATTATCTACGAGCATCCATTCTAAAGAAGCTCTGTGGTTTTTTATATCAAACCAAACATGAGTGTAATGAAAATTTCTAGTTTAGCGGGTGGATACCTACAAGATAGCTTTTATATTGTTGATTTCGTAATTCTTGCTCCAATTGATAACGAAATACACATTTCTATTTACAATACCAAACATCTTTGATGGCATGATTTTATAAAGAAATATCCTAGGAAATATTACGCGCCTATTTGGACTGAGGAAAAAATTTTTAAGGTTTGAAAATGGAATGATCGGTATAAAAATAAGGTACCTGAGTTCCGAGTCAAGGAGTTGATTACACGATGGGGATGTATACCACAACGAGTTTTTGATGAATAGTGATGTTTATAAGTTCCTAAAAAATGAAGGGATTTAGATGATGATTCTTTGGAAAAACTAATACACATTATTCCCAGTGCTGAAGAATATGTTCATGCCTCGAAAGAAATATATAGGGCTTTGTTCAGATACTATAAAAATAATACAAAAGATAAAATTATTAATATAATCCGAAGTTTTAGTGGTACTTTAGCTGGGGATTTTTTTGAAATGTTAGCACATGATCTCATGATGTTTTGCGAAAAGGTGGCAATTTTAAGGTACGACGCTTAGCCGATAAAACTTCTAAATACCCCAAAGAAACACTTGATCTTAAAAGTCTGGATCTCAACCAGTATGATGATGTTCAAGAAATAAATACCGGGTATTATAATTTTTAAAATTAAAAATTTTGAGTCCGTGTATGCTATCACGCCTCAAGATATTAAATGGAATTCATCGTTTATTTCAAATAACAACTGCAGAAAAACATGATACTAAGATAAATATAAGTCATATATTAGCATTGTATCTATTATTATGTACTGAATATATTTATACTATGTAGGTAAATGGTCTTAGTAAGTTAGAAGGCCGAAATCTACCGATCCATCTATATTTCGTTGTTCCAAATATAAATCATATTTTTGATAATTTTCGTTTACAGAACTATGTTACTATGTTACGACAAAAGGTGACAAATATAAGGGATGGAATGCAAATACTGAATGGATTCGTGATCAAATTCTTGCAATTTGATCTCGAGAACATATTGTTCTATTTTAAGACCGTTAATAAATAAATACATGCTAAAATAAAATGGGATAGATTCACTTTTATGAAAAATCATGGGCTAATTCAATGCTAGAACTTTCCGGAAAAAAATAGATAATAAATATGCGAATCATATTATGATGATGTTGAGCCAAAATCAGTAAAATTTTAGGTTACAAAAAACTGAGACATTTTATCACGATCAAATTTTACTTCGTACTTCTCTTACCTGCCCTGTATTTATTTTTTATCCGTATTAATAAAGCGAATCTTTACATTTGCCAAGAAATTTGGGCAAGCACTGTTTGGTGACTTTATATTATGTAATCATATACACGAAAAATACACAAATAATAAAATTTCAAAATAATAAGTTTCATTAAAATTTTGAATAATACATGTTAAAAATTCGATTTACTATGAAAAATGAGCGTGTAGCGGCGTTTCAAGGGAGGAATTTGCCCGCCCCTCCTTAGACATCTTTTACATAGTAAAAGGAATGGCAGTTCCTTTCCACTACTCCGCATTACTATCTAAATTTTTTCTGTTTTTACTATCTATCCATTAACAAATTCTTTATAAAATAAAAGGAACCCAACTTTGTAAATGTTCAACCTTATCGGTATTCTGTCCAAAATTTGTCTACTGCAGATAATTTGTGAATTCGCAAACGAAAAGGTTTTAGATTTTTCCGGACATTTTCTGGACATTTATTTTTTATAGGGCAATCCATTTTGGGCTCCGCCGTCAGTTCAATTCTTTAAGGTCTGGTGACATAGATAAATATCAGTTACCGAAGTTTATTAAAACTACTTAGACCATTCACTTTACTATTTGTATTCTGTATAAACAAAAATATATTTGATTTTTTTTTTAGAGTAAAGTATATTGAGAACTATCGTCGTAAATTTATAAATCTACATGTTGTTTGACGTATAGTCGTCAAAGATGCATGTTCAAACTAATGAAGCTAATCCACATATTCTTCATTCTCTTTGAAAATTAAGTAATACAACAATGTATTAAAGACCCAGTCCCGGCAGTCTAAAGGAACCGATCAAACACTTATCAAACATTTCATTTTTAAGTAAAGGAATAAACGTTTTATTTTGCGATCAAAGATTTTAATAAGGTACAATTAATTAATACTTTACTTCTCTGTCTTCTCATATATGGTGATTTTGATACAGTTGACAGAATTTAACATTTAATTTTTTTTTTTACGAAATAATTTTTTTTTTTTGGTAATTATGATTTTTAATACACTGAATCAATGATTCTCCGAAGCGTAAGCGGAAGACGAGAAATTTTGGTTGTTACAACCAGTAAGATTATGTGCTACATATCATAGCCGTATATATCACTGCGCAAAATCACTGGTGAAAACAATTATGCTACATTTTTTTTTCGTTCTCCATAAAATAAGATAAAATAATGTAAATAGTTGCATTAGGATGGCTAAGTATTAGGGTTAGGTTAAAAAGCGCTCCCAAAAGGCATCATATTAATTTGTAATGTTAATTTAGTAACTTTGATTAACTAAAACTCCAGACTTAAATTATTATATTAACTCCATACTGCGAATTTTCTGTGATTGACTTTTCAATTAATTATGTATTTTAACTTTATATAATTATTAAATAATAAATATAAAAAGCTTTTAAAATAATGTCCAAGTGAAATTCCAACAAATTAACTAAATTGCTTGTCATATTAAAGAAAAAAAAATATGGATAATCAAAGTATAAGTGTGATTAAAATGCGTAAAATTAGGGAACGGAAACCGTTAACTAAAGAAAATTGACCTTTCATCAATCATGTTTATATTGATTTTTTAAGTAAGATTTAAAAATAACTACAAATTAATAGTCTATTGAATAACAATCATTGATTTTTGTTTACCAAATTATTTGAATATTAATCAATATAATTAAGGAATATTATCTATTCATTAAGTATGACAATCAAATTTGTTAAACACAAATTGTATTCGCTGAAAAAATAAATAAAAAAATAAAAATAAAATTAATAAGTACATTCTTCTTTTGGTTATGAGGCGTAAAATGCTACGCCTCAAGATCACAAAAATTTATGTGGGCACAACATGAAGTTTGATCAACAATTTGCATTTTACTAATTTATTAAGTGGAACGAAACTTAAAATAATTCATTCATTATTTCTTTCTTATTGATTACATTATGTCCAATCTTCGATATGAATTAATTTATGCAATAACTAATAGAGCAATAATATTAACAGATGGTAATATTTACAATAATATACACAAACAATTTGAATTTCAAAAACAAACAGTCCTTGCTGATAAAATTCTTACAAATGATGAAAAAACTTATGCAATAAGAAGGTTAACTAAAATTTATGATCGAAATAAAGTTATGGATGATGATGGTACAAGAAGAATTTGTGAAAATTGTAACCAAGAATGTTTAGCCACATTATATTGTGAATATTGTGTCCGAAATTATTTAAAAGAAAATTTTTTAAATTGGACATCTAAAAATAATGATATTGATGATTTAATACAGAAATGTCAAATGGAATCACTCATGCCAAATGTGGTAGTTGAATGGATCCCATATAGTAATTTAAAAAATATTGAATATTTAACAAAAGGGGGATTCTCAGAAATTTATACAGCATATTGGATTAATGGAAGATATGAAGAATGGGATTCTGAAAAAAAACAATTAGAAAGGGTTAAAAGACCTGGAGTACAAAATCTAGCTGAGGAAGTGGTACTTAAAACGTTAGAAAATGTCGAAAGTGCAAATCAAAGTTGGTTTGAAGAGGTTTGTATAATTTTATTGTATAAAATTATGTAGACTTTATATTAATATAAGCATTTTTACAAATTATTACCTTTTAGGCTAAATCACATTTAACTATAAGTAATAAATGGGGGAGTGTTGTTCGATGTCATGGTTTAACGCAAAATCCATCAAATGGAAATTATATGCTTGTAATGTCGAAACTTGATATAGATTTAAGAAAATATTTACAACAAAATCATAATCAACTTACATGGAAAAAGAGAATTAATATTACTTATGAAATAATCAATGCAATTTATCATATTCATTTTGAGAAAGCAATTCATAGAGATTTACATTCCGGAAATATATTATTTTCACAGTTAGATGATAATTGGTGTATAAGTGATCTTGGATTTTGTGGACCTGCTGATAAATCTTCAACAAGTATATATGGAAATCTTCCTTACATAGCACCCGAAGTAATTATTGAAAGAGAATATACTTATGCATCTGATATTTATAGTATTGCAATTCTTATGTGGGAAATTTCATCTGGACAACCACCATTTATAAATTATGAACATGAAAATGATATTGTAATGAATATTATTAACGGTATAAGAACAAAAATAGTGCCAGGAACACCATTAGAATATAAAAATTTAATAAAAGAATGTTGGGATGCTGATCCATTAAAAAGACCTACCGCTTATAAACTTATGAGAAGAATAAGCAGAATTCATTTAGATTATCAAAATATGTCAGATGATTTATTCAAATCAGAAAAAAATAATTTAGAAATGAATAAAGTAGAAGAAAATTATACGAGTAGCAGATTATTCACAAGTAAAATCCACAACTTTGGAAATCTACCTGAACCAAAAAATGCAACAGAAGGTATAAGTGTATAATATTTTATTAATGAATATATTTATTTAAAATACATTATTAATGTTATCTTTTTATTATAATAGAAGAACAAGAAGGTATTAACCGTATAAATAATAATTTCTATCATTTTTTGGTGACTGTAATAATTTACTTTATTTTACTATTAATAGGGTTTCATAGTAAATTGTATGATTTTAACATTCCTAACAATAGTAAGTAATTATTGATATTACAGCATTGAATTATTAGTAGGGATGGCAACGGTCGGTCATGGTCGGTCATCGGTCGGTCATGACCGGTCAAGAACCTTTGACCGACCGACCGACCGTTTGACCGACCGTTTGACCGATCATTTTTTTTATATTTTCGCAGCGTTTTTATTAAGGCAATTGAAAAAACGTGTGAAAACGTTTTTTTTTTTATTAAATTATTAATAAAAAATGTTTTCGCAACGTTTCTATTAAAATAATTAAAAAAAACGTTGCGAAAACGTTTTATTTTAATTAAATTATTAATAAAAACGTTTTCGCACCGTTTTTAGTTAAAATAATTAAAAACGGTTGCGAAAAACGTTTTTTTTTAATTAAATTATTAATAAAAAAAACGTTTTCGCGACGTTTTTTATTAAATTTTTCATAAAAAAATTTGGTCGGTCAAACGGTCGGTCAGAAGTCTTGACCGACCGATATCGGTCACGGTCATGACCGGTCATAATCGGTTAATGACCGTGACCGTTGCCATCCCTAATTATTACATAATGATTTTTAATAATTAATATTTATTTTAGTTAATGATTTTAATAAATCAAATAAGCGAAATAGCAAATCATCAAAAGTAATTACTATTTTTAGAGGTAATGTATTTTAATTATTCCCTATAAAAAATTTTTATCTGAATATTACCATTATTTCTCCGTGTCTTCCGTAAAAATTCTGTGAAAATGATACATTCACAGATATCTGTGTTAGCGAGATGAAAATTTCCATGATTTAAGGCTATTAAAACATGGAAAGATAAAACACGGATCAGATTTTTTACAGGGATTGACAAATCGAGATTGATTTATATATTAAATCTATATCTTAATTTTAGGAGATAGTGAAAAATTATCCAAAGAATTTAAAAAGTTGCAAATAAATTCAAATAGTAAGTAAATTACTAACGAATTAAATTACTATATCAATTTCATTTATTTAACGCGACTTTTATTTAAAATTTAGATGATGAAAAGAAAATAACTCAACAACATGTCGATGGTAGGTGAAAATTTTACGTAATAACAAATAATTTTTATATTATTTTAAGTATATTTATTTTCTTATAGATGATGACGAAGTATATAATAATCCAAATCTTCATTCAGAAGAACAAGATGAACTGGAAATTCCTGATGGTAAGTTCTTATATAAATTAAATTTCTTTTTAAAGCAAATAATTGATTTATAATTTGTTATTTTTTATCTTTAGATGGATTTTGAATTGTCTTTTAACAATATATTTTTTTATATTTTAAATTATTATCATTTATTTATTTATCTATCTATTTATTTTTCTTGGGTTATTTAAACACTAAGACTAGAGTAGTAAATGTTTTACAAAATTCTTAGTTTGTAATTTAAATAATTTTAATAAATTTATTCAAATTATTAAATGTATTTACTACCGTGATTTAAACGTAAATTTATGTCATAAATATTGTAAAATCATGACGGATTATTCCATTCGTTATACATGAATTTATTCAAACAATAGTATATAGTCCTTCGTTACATTTCGGACTAATAACGTGAGATGCGTCTTGAGTACACTGTTACACTTCGACAAATTTTAGTCGATCGTTTATAAAATGTCCCGCAAAAATTATGGATACGAAAGTAGAGACGCTTCGGACCCACACTGGGTCCGTTTCCTATTCTAGTTAAATAATATGAATGATAAATATTATAAGCAATGCACGATTTTTTTATTTAATTTTATGAACGTGATCTTAATTTTATTATCGACCATTTAAATAATACTAACTTATTTGTAGTACAAGAAAGAATTAATCATTGGTTCAAAACTGGTAGTTTTTGATGCTCAAATTAGATCTAACCAAAACTAAAATCTAGTATTCTGGTTTTTGAAAAACTAGTTTGAATCCGACTTTTAATGAATAAACCCAATCTGGAGGCGAGTTAAAATGTATTAACTTTGATATTCATATGTTCCAACTTCCATATGATCAAATATAATATTTTATTAAAAATATTAGTTAATATTTGCAATACAATTAAATAATAAAAAATGCATATAATAAATAATAAATATATATTCATTAATTAAATCATTATATTTCATAAAATCTTCTTTTAAAATTAACCAAGTTTTAAAGATTAAGACTCTATGAGATACTCGAACTTTCTCTGGATTCAGAAGTCAAATATTAGTAAAGAAAATAAGTATTGTAAAATTTATAAATTGAGAGGTGATAATAGAAAACGTCTCGACGAGTTTATTCAGGTTGATCAAAATTCGGTTTTAAAACTAGTGTAAAGAACAGGTTAATAAACTCGGTCAAACTGGTACTAGCTAGTTTGAGACTAACTATATCGGTTAAGCTCAAACTCGGATAAAACTGTTCGGTTCAATTTGCCATAATATTCTTGCTCTCAACTGTAAAAAAAATTTATTTTAACGGAAAAAAATCCCTAGCGTTAGTAGCGTAGATCCTTACATAAAAATTTAAAGTTTGTAATTAACTTGCTGATTGTTAAATTTGTCACGTGTAACTTCAGGTTTATGGAAATAATGGTTATTAAAATCTTGCAATTTACGTAACTTGTACAACTTGATGACGATCATCTCATACATATATATATACTTCGACTTTACCACAAAAATTTCCAATAAAAAAATTCGTGTTTTTAAACCTTACGTATACCCTTGAAAATGGCGTCAAAAACAATAAGTGAGTGGATTAACTTAAGAAAAGAAAATGAAGACATAAATTATTTTGAATATGATGAATTCATTAATGTGGAAAAAATTGGCAAAGGAGGGTTTGGAATTGTAAGTAAAGCTTATTGGAAAAGTGGTAGGATTACTTTGGCATTAAAAACACTTTTTAACGAGTCCATCGATGAAAAAAATGCGAAGAAGTTTCTTAAAGAAGTAAGGGTTAAATATTATATTCAATTAAAAGTTAAAATAATTATTATGTAATTTATCGAAATAAAAAAAAATTATTAACATACTAAATCATTTCTATATAAATAAATCTTTGTTTCTAGTTAAAAAATTTAAGAATAGTTGGTTTTCATCCAAATATAAATCAATTTTGTGGCATTACGAAAGGTTAATATTAATATTATCTTTCTATATGAAATTTTACGAGATTTTAAAAATTAATTAATTAATTTGTATTTGATAATAGATATATCTTTAAATAAATACGTAATGGTATTACAATATGCTACTCAGGGAAATTTAAGAGATTATTTAAAAAAGAATTTTTCTTCGCTTGAATGGAACGATAAAATTCGGATGGCTTTGGATATTGCTCGTGGATTGACGTGTTTACATAACAGAGAAATAATTCATAGAGATTTGGTAATATAATTTTTTTTAGTTTATTTCGTTGATTTCATTAATTTTATTTGATAATTAACTTTTTATTCATCTATTAGCACTCGATGAACATATTAGTTCATGATAATAGATTGATGATTGCAGACTTCGGATTGTCTAAACAGTTAACAATTGAACCAACCGTTGATTCCACATCACATTCAACAATTTATGGAATACATGCATATATTGAACCAAAATGCTTACTAGATAAAAATTATAAAAAAGATAAGAGATCTGATATTTACAGTTTAGGTGTTCTTTTATGGGAGATAACGAGCGGACATCCACCTTTTCCAAATACTCCATATAATGAACGAATTCCTTTATATCTTCAAGTTTGTAGTGAAGAGTTAAGAGAAGTTCCGATAGATAATACTCCTTCAGATTATATAGAACTTTATGTGAAATGTTGGAACGGTGAACCAAAATTAAGACCAACTATTGATAGCGTTTATGATACATTGGAAAAGATATCCTTAGGAGACGCTGAGCTTAGAGAATGTAAACTAAATCCGAATTTATTAAATCCGTCACATTTACCACTACATCCAAAATCGCAATCGCAATCACAATCACAACTACAACCACAACCATCTCAACTTCCACAATCAAAAAATGGCGATTTGGTTATATCCAAAATTGAAAATCAATTAAGTAAGTGAATTGAAAGTATTTTTAATATAAATAGAAGCGTCTATTTTTTTTTTATTATAACATTAATAACAAAAGTAATTGTTAGAAAACGACAATGAAGGAGATGAAAATCAGATTTGTGTGTGATATCTCTATATATTTGTTGTTTTATTTAATTAAAAATTAATCTATTAAAAATTAATATTATAAAATATTAGATACGCTAAATCAAACTGGAACGCAAATTGGTAAGAATATGATTATCTTAATATTTATTTAAACCATAAAATATTAATAGAATGATTATTAGGTACGCCAACGTCATCTAGTAATAATCAAATCGACAATCAATTTTGTAAGTGTATATTTGCTTGATGTTGTTTAAAATCTACTTTGAAATAATTATTATTATTATGATTAGATACACCGCCATCATCCGTTTCATCTGCTAATGGTAAAACTGGAACGGAATCAATGTCTTCTATTTCACCTGTTTCACCTACCATCAGTAAAACTGGAACAGAATCACCCGTTTCACCTACCATTAGTAAAACTGGAACGGAATCACCTATTTCACCTACCATTAGTAAAACTGGAACGGAATCACCTATTTCACCTACCATTAGTAAAACTGGGGCGGAATCACCTGTTTCACCTATCGTTAGCCAAACCGAAACTAAAATTGGTAAGACATACTTTTTTTTGATATTGTTGATATTTTGGTTATTTAAAATTTACTTGATACATTTTATATTGTTAAATGAAACAGAAACTAACATTAATGATGATCCAAGTAATATTTTAAATGAAATTATTAAAGCTTATTTAAGAAGAAATGTCATTGGGTGGACAAAAAGTTTTGCCTTTGAACAAGTTTTGATTAAGTATGTGTCAAAATCTCAGGAAATTTTTAATTATCTTAATAGTAACACAACTCTAGAGCATTATGAAGTGATAGTTGGAATATTTTATCATAAAGGATTTGGAATAGATGAAAACGACAGTACAGCTTTTGAATGGCATATGAAAGCAAGCAAAAAAAATGATATAAATGGTCATTATGAAGTCGGAAAATGCTACAGTGTAGGGTGTGGTGTTAAGAAAAATGATGATAAAGCATTTGAATATTTTCAACGTGCCGCTGATGGTGAATTAAATATAGCTTTATATCATCTCGCAGCTTGTTATAAACATGGTGATGGTATACAAAAGGATAATTTTAAAGTATTTGAATTATATAAAAAATCTGCCGAGAAGGGATTTGTACCATCTCAACAACATTTGGCTAGTTTTTATAAAGATGGCGTAGAAGGTACTCAACAAAATATTAAGGAAGCACTGAAATGGTATAAAAAATATGATGAAAATGGTGGGACTTATAATGTAAAAAATGATATTAAAAATTTGAAAAATTCGGTAATATTTTTATTTTTTTTTTTTGTAAATTTTCAACATTAAGAAAGTCACTAACAATTACATATTAATTTAATAGAATAAAAAATCATCGAAGAAGTGATAAGTTATCGCGTAGAATTACCCGTTCCACAAACATTTTTCGTTTCCAATATATGGCGGAAAATTCTGCAAATTTTATTCTTCAAATATTGCGCGACTATTTATCAAGTTTATCCTACAAGGTTAAGCTGGGGTATTATTCATATCCGTTAAACCATAAGTTCATCCATGTACTTTTTTTTTCATATTTTTTTTTCTTTTTTTTTTTCCGGCTTTTCATTATTTTTTTTTTTTCGACAGTTAAGTAAACAATAAAGGAATTACTCAGATGTAGTAAATTACAATTTCAATCAAAAAAATTGAATTCGTTAGTTTGATTTTTAATAATTTATGATATAATTAACTATTTTTGATCATGTGTGATCAAAAAAAAATACGTCTTCCTTTTCTTTGCTACAATGCAAGATAATTTACAAAAGAAAATTATTAATATCGCAAAATTGATGATTTTTTGGCGGAAACAGCTATTTTTAATAATTTAATAATTTCATTTTTAATTTTATTAATAAATCAAACAAATCGAAATCGGAGATTTAAGTATAACAGAAAAATTTATTCATAATCTCGGATATAATTAATTAATTATTCATATTTCATATTTTTAATATTTTTAACTAATATTTTATCATAAAATAAAATATAGAATTGATATAAAAACAATAATTGTAAAAATACTGAACGTTACAATGACCGCATTTAAGGCCGATTACAGCAGTAAGTTTCATGTGATGTCATCAGCGATCCCATGAAAACTGAATTATCCATATAAATTATTTAATTGTCTTATAATTACGTCACTTGTGTTACCACATTTACTTGCATTTAAAATAAGTACAAAAGCAAAATATTAAATATTATACGGTTTTTTCACCCCCAAAATTTTTTTTTTTTTTTTTTCTCTTTTTTTAACAACGATGTCTGAACTTATTTTGGATATACTCGTTTTAATCATTGAAGAATTAGAAGATGATTATAATACATTATTTAATTGTCTTTTAGTAAATAGTATATGGTGTAAAACGACCATACCAATCTTATGGAAAAATTATTTAAATTACGCACTTTTTAAATTTAAATATGTTTCACTCATTAAACTATTTTTTTCATATTTATCTGAAGAATCCAAAATTTTAATGAATGAAAATGGTATTGATTTTAATTTATCTTTTATACCACAAAAACCATTAATCAATTATATAAGTTTTATAAAATCTATCGTAATTTTTGATATATCAAAAGTTATTGAAATTTGTTTCAATATAAAACTTTTAGAAAATCAAAAATTAATTATAGAAAAAGAATTTTATAATATTATTTTTAATCAATGTTCTAATATAAAATGTCTTGACCTTTCTCATGAATTTTATGAGAATAAATATGATATGGTGAATTATATAGAAATAAAGGATCATCTAAGTAATCTTGTAGAATTCACTTGTACTCAATATATTGACGAAAAAATCTTTGATGCTTTGGCGGAAATATGTGTAAATATCAAAAAACTTGAAATAAGAAAGCGTAATAAAGATAATAATGGTTTATTCAAATTAATACAAGCTCAACGTCAATTAGAATATTTTTGTTATAAAGGAAAAAAGAGTCGAACGCACGATTGGGATGTTTTTTGTAAAGATATGAGTGAAGCATTAATTAAGCATTCAAATACGCTCAAACACTTTAATGCACCAATTAGATTATGTATTCCTCTTATTACATTAAATTCTTTCATAAATTTAGAAACTTTAATGTTAGGATATTCAACAAATTATATTAACGATTTACATTTAATTAAACTTCCAAAGCTTCAATATCTTAAGGTTTGTTACCTTACAAAAGTAAGAGAATTAATTCAAAATACGGGTGGATTTCTTAAAAGAATCGAAATTTATAAACCACTTGTTGAAGCAGAAGAAATCATAAAGATTATCAGAGTTGTATATCAACATTGTCCTCAACTTGAATACTTTTGTTTCCCTTTTGTTGATAAAGTTGGTGATATATTAGAAGAATTATTATTAAAATGCAATGATTTAAAAAAAATCATTATGAATGGGTATTATTTAGATGGGGATATATTATTAAAAATTTTAATAAAATCAATTTCGAAAAAATTACAACATATTGAAATTAATGGTGATTGGAAATTCTCGGTGAAAGAATTAGAAGAATTTTTAAATAATTGGAAAGAAAGGAATTGTTTACTTTATATTAAATTTGATTTAAGTAGTCATTGTTCTAAAAAAGAATTTTCTGATATATTTCATAAATATATAGATGATGGGGTCCTTGATCGTAATTCATGTATTTTAAATAATTGATTATTGATGGACGTTTATATATTATTATTGGTATCGTAGAGCGTGATATTAGTGGTATGATATGAATCATATGAGATGTATTATGTCTACTTTTTAAAAATAAAGACGATCAATAAATTTTTTGTTATTTCTGTTGTCATTTTTTTGAAAGATCATCTTACCATATTTATAATAAAAAAAATGGCCGTTTTTTTTTCTTTTTTTTTTAAAAAAAAAGTATTGCTAAATATCACCAGTGGTGACGATTACTAGTGGTGAATTTATGATGTAATGCCGGCCAGTATTTTATTAGCTTTTTAATTTTGGCCAAAAGTACATCATAATGCTGGTATGGTGACCATCACCACCGGTGATCTTTAGTAATACCAAAAAAACAAATATAAATATACTCGATTAACTCGAATATTTCAACTTGAATATATCATGAAGTCAGGTTTCTTTCGTAATACTAACCATGATTTATTGATTTATGATCACTATCTAGCATTAACGCTAATTCACATGATAAGTTAATTTCATCTTGATAAGTGAATTATGATAAATCGTTCAAAAAAATTTTGGTTCAAAAACCAAAAAAAAAAAAAAAAAAAAAAAAAATATCTTGGTAAAACGCTAGTAACAGTATTTTAAAATTAAGCAATGATGATGGGGACGAAGTTCCCTACAAAATGCACATTTTAGTTGAACTTTAATTTTTAATAATATCAAACAATTTTGATACGCATTTAGAATTTTATAAAATATTATTTACTCTAGAAATTTTGTATTTAGTTTCTCTATAAAAGATTTTTTCAGAAAAATGATCACGTGTCTAAGTTTCTTCGGAATAAAAACTAGAAAAATGATCATTTATCGGAGTTTTTTCTAGAATTCTTTTTTTTTTATAGAGGTTTATTTAATAAAGATAAAAGTTTATATATAACAAATCCTGTTTTCCCAAGAACAAATTGTTACAATCCTCCCTAATACATTATAAAAAGTTTTCTATTCATCTGATAATTTATATAAATCAAAATTTAATTTATCATAATTTAAAAAAATCTATTAATAATATCACTAAAGAGACTTTTAAAATCTGTATTAATAAAATCAATTATTGTTATTTTACTATGTATTTAGTGCATGGCCGGGATAAATTCTTTTACGTTGGATAAACCGATAAACCCATAACTGGTCGCCGATAAACCAATAACTGGTCGCGAGAGTAATAAGACTCGATCCAATTATAGATCCAAGAATTATTGCTACAAGTCCACCTTTTGAGATTTGAACGTTATTAGGATCAGTTTTTATCGTAGGCGTACTACAACTCGAATCTGCAGAAGCAGTTGGACTAGGACCTGCAGAAGCAGTTGGACTCGGACCTGCAGAAGCAGTTGGACTCGGACCTGCAGAAGCAGTTGGACTCGAATCTACAAAAGAACTCCTATTTAAATTTCCATTAAATAAATTATTGATTTAATTTTTTGAATTAAAAGAGAAGATTTAAAATTAAAAAAAAATTTCAATATACCCCCAAAGATCCCATTTTGTCGCATCTCCACATTTAGATTGCGTCAAATTATTATTAGGACCTGTACTGTTCATGCAAAGGTTAGATGATTTATTCTGTTTAAGAAAAAAAATAATAGAATTAACTTAGAAATCGCTTATTAATAAAATACAGTAAGTATTAAATATAAAGGTTAAAAAAATTTACTTTTATCGAACATGAAGTATGATATTGTGTCCAATCAGTAGAATTTGGTTTGATATTACATTTAGCACAATCGATACTAAATCTTTGATTATCAGAACTAATACTCTTAATATTAAAAAAAAAAGGAAAAGGCAAATGTAATAATTGATTATCTGAATTGGTGCTTTTAATATTAAAAAAGAAATAAAGAAAAATATAGTGAATTAAATCAGAATTGATTAATTAGTAATTGAACGATAAAATACGAAAAATTGTAAAATTATGTAAAAAGATTTTAAAATACAATACTAACGTATGATTTAGTACAAAAGGAGCTACGGCGTTCATTTCAATAACTATTAATTAAAAAGATCACGTTTTTAACTACAATTATTTTGATTAAATTAATAAAATATACATATATCTTTTTAATATTATTTATTAAAATATATATATGCATATGATGTACTTACCAAGTGTGTGGTTGTCTTTAAACGGTCGAAGCTCATATAAACCAGGTTTAGGTTGTGTTAACAGAAAAATTTCGTAATCTTTTGGTTTACTTGGTTTACTATTACTAAAATCTACTGTATAAATAGCATTACCCGGTTTTCTGTACAGTTTTTTAAAATTGAATTTAATATTTCATTATAGAAAATAATAAAAGTATAGTTTTACAAATTACTGTAACTTACGCATCACTAGGATTTAGTTGCAATCGAGTATTGGTATTTGATTGATTTATTGTAAAAACAACCCCATTATTGACCTTTGGAGAACATGATAATACAAACGTAGTGAAAAAGCTAAATAATAAGAAGGTCTTGTAGAATAATAAAGATCTTAACCAATACATCCCTAAATTTGGAATATGAGTGAAATGACAGAGTATGCTTTTACTGTGCATGAAAAAAGTGGACAATTATAAATTATATTTTCCCATACAAACGCCCTTTATACATCGCAATTTCTGAACTGTTTCCGGAAATATTTAGTTTTTTTGGTTTGTACTGATAAACATACTTTATTGAACATTCCTTATTAAATAATAATAACCTAATCTTATTATTAAATGTATAATCAATATATGAAGAATTAAGGAAATAAAAGAATGGATAAAAAGTTAGAATATGTTAAAAATAGTTATCCAATGATTTGTGTAACCTCAGGACTTCTCACTCCGATTAAAATGCAGCTACATTAATGATCGCCTGAAGAGTGTCCTGAATATTTTGAATGAACTTATAAATATAATCATTATCACTGGTCTAATTATAGAAATTTTGTTTAAGTCTTTTTGAATTGCAAGTTCGACACTAATCCTTCTCTGTATTTATTTGTTTGCACTCTACACATCATCCAAATTTTTTCTCATTATTTTTTGAATAAGCATCACAATATTAACCTTTACCTACTTGTTTGCATTGAACATGTGCTTTAGTTCTTCTTCACTTAATTGATCCATAACGCAAATAAACTAGTTTATCAGCAGGTTTTGTCATATTTGGTAAATTTCGATACAGAAAAATCATAATGGGACATTTTACCGTATATATATCGTACGATCGGCGTGATTATGAAGACTTCATTATTATTAATCGGGATAGTTATACAAACTTTATTTATAGCGAGAATGATGACATAATCTATGCTATTTTTCTTGAGACTTATAGAAAGCTCATTCAGGATAAAAGTTATTATAAACATTTATGGTAAGTATCACTAAGTGATAGGACTGTTCACAAATCTTACAAGAAAAATGTTTAGTGTGAGAAAATTTTATTTCTTATTTTACGTACGGTAGGTATTAAACGTTATTTATTTATTTTTAAGAAAAAAATACATATATATCTATTATTTTATTTAACATAAAACATGTCGTTGCAAATATATTACTCAATTAATCTATGAATTGTCGGTTATTTCTATCTTCAAAATAATGAACGTGACTTGATCGTATATGATTTATAAATTTTTTGATTCATATAATCTCTATTATCTAACGTATAGGGTTTTTAAATAATTTTTTAAATAATAGAACTTTAAAATATTTCTTTATATTTTCAGGAGATCTAATTTATTTGAAATAACATATAATAAAATTATTTACGGAAGGACGTGATTAAAGTTTCAAGGCTCAGTAATTTGCATCACATGATCTTGTAACGTATTTTATTTATTTACCGTACCAAGTTTATAATTAACCACATTTAAGGGGATGTGAAAAAAATAATTTTGGGAGGCAAAAAACGTCCCTCAAAACAGTGAAAAACGCGGTGGGGTGTGATGCCGGTGATGAACATTACAAAGTCACGTGGTGTGAAAAATTTGGTGGTGTTACTTGGAAGATACTTATTTTTATGCTGCTTCGGACACTTTACTAATATAGTGTGTAATGAAAAAAGTTGGTATTCATGTTAAATAAAAGGAAGGAAAAAATGCAACTTTTACAAAAATCAATATATAAAATACATTTAACTGCTTTATTTAGCATATTTATAAAAAAACATTAATTGTTAAATTGTAATTTTTTTAAACTTTATATGTATAATTTCAAATTTCCAGAATTTTGGAACGAAAAAACATACTTTTATATTATATGAGTCTTTTTTTTTTATTGATAATTTCGTTATTAGTAGCTACCAATTGCTACAAATTTGAATATATCTTTTTCTTTTCACTTTCGATTCATACTATACAAGTAGTTAGTGGTAGACTGTTTATAAATAAATCAATATTAATTTTTCAGAGTATAATCAGTATTATCAATCTAAATATAAAATCGAATAACGACATAACTTCGGCTTATCAGTTTATAATTTAGTTTTTCCAGAAGTAAATTTTAGGAGCATATTTAATTTTGAAGACGAGAAAATCTTAAGAGATCGGTAAGCAATAATTATTAGCCGAAATAGAATAAAAGTCAAATTCACCATTAAAAAATTCCTAGACTTTCCTGTATTTGGCCATATTTCGAAACACAAATAATTGCGCAGCATGAAAACGCGTGATACAGTATGTCTGCGCCTATCTATTCATAGTTAGGAGTTCCTGTTAATTGAAATTTTTAACGGATATCTTTTTTTTTTGCCAATGAGATAATGCTAATGTAATAAAAGTTTAATTTGTCTTTAATTTCATTTCGGTCCTTTTGGGAAGATGCACTCAGCAGTAGAGGTCTGTAAACGGGACCCGGAAACCGGAAATGACTGTGCTCGGACCAGTGCTCCGAATCTAACAATATGGTTTTACCTTATTCCGAAACTTTACCGAGTTTTACCGAATGTACTGACGGTAATGTAAGGCTGGGGCTCAATGGCCTTACGTGAATATTCCTTTATTAAATAAAATAAAATATTAATTTTCTTAGTTTCCTCCCCACTAATAGGGAGATATATAATAACATCAATCTAAAAATAAATTATCTAAACTAAAAATAAAACATTCACAATAAAAATAATAAAATAATGAACTAAAATAAAAATAAAATCGTAAATTCATCAAATAAAAATTATACAAATCCTAAATTCCAACCAAAATGCGATAGATTCCCCTTCCATATTATCAAAAACCATTAAAATATAAAATATCTTAATGTGGCAGTTTATTCTCATAAGAAAAAGGCAAAAAAAATCGAATATTAAAAAGAATGTCTAAAATATTAATTTTGAGGTCAAAAGTTGTTATTTCTCAGGTCGAAGGTTATGTTCAAGGTGGTCAAACTTCATGTTGTTATATGTCATTATGTCCTTATTATATGAACTAATTAGAATAAACAATGAAAAAGAAGATTTATTAATAAATGGAGAACGGATAACAAAGGTGAACATCGAAGAAGGAAATCGATATCTAGGAATATAACTTATGATCATCATATTTCTACGTGATTATTTCTCAATAATTGATCATTAAGTAACCAATAAAATAATCTTCATTAAAAGGTTGATAGGTTGATAGGTTGATAGTCATAATGATGGTATCCCGCAGTCAATAAACATTATATCATCATCCTCATTATATTGACTAATAAAATCAATTATTTCCCGAAGTAATAAATTAAAACTATTTCTCAAAATAGTATTAAGAACTATCCAATACTAAACATTGCATATGAATCAGTTTAACCTCACGATCCAGGAGGTTTTATATGTATTTCACTTTAAAACACTTCAAAATTCGTAGGTTATATACCTACAATAAATATATTGCTGCAGTTTATAATTAATAAATGCCTTAGACACTACTATTAGGTGTCCCGACTGTCCCGTATATTATGAAATCAGCTGTAAACCTGTAAACCTGTAAACCTGGATTTTCGTAATTCTGGCCAAAATCGGCTTAATTCTGGCCGAAATTAAACTTGCCAAAATTAAGTTGGCCGATTTTTTTGTTTTTACAATAAAATGATATAATAATAGTCCGGGTCCGGTCCGGGCTAGGTTTTTAATATATTAAGTCCGTGCCGGGTTGTAAAATAGGGGTCAATGCAGACCTCTACAGCAGATTGCGTTGCTGAAGCTATCCGGTTACCTTTTTTTTTTAAGATTGTAAATTTTTTCAATATTTTTTTTTCATTTTTTTGGCTCTTTTTTTTCAAACCGAAAAAAAAAATTTAGTTTTTTATTTTCAGTTTTTTTGTTTAATGCTGAAAGATAAATTTTTTTGTTGGTTCAAACGGAGAAAAATTTTTTTTAATCAATTTTTTTTTCAATACCGTGAAATAAATAAATTTTTAATCATTTTTTATATATATAAATTTTTTTTTAATTAGTTTTTATTTTCGATCATCGAAAATATAAACTTTTTTTTTCTAATTCTTTTATTTCCGATCTTTTTCAAAACAAAAAAATATTTTCAATTAGGTTTTTTTTTTACTTACAGGTTTTTTTTATTAATACCATGATTTTTTTCTTATTGTTAAATATAAGATACGCATTTAGAATCTAGAAATTTTGTATTTAATAGTTACCTTATAAAAAATTTTTCAGAAAAATGATCACATGTCTAAGTTTCTTCGGAATAAAACTACTAGAAAAATGATCATTTATCGGATAGAGGTTTATTTAATAAAGATAAAAGTTTATATATAACAAATCCTGTTTTCCTAAGAGCAGATTGTTACAATCCTCCCTAATACATTATAAAAAGTTTTTATTCATCCGATAATTCATATAAATCAAAATTTAATTTATCATATATCACCAAAGCACAGACTTTTAAATATTGTATAATAAAATCAATTATTATTTTTTTACTATGTATTTAATGCATGACCAGGATAAATTCTTTTACGTTGGATAAACCAATAACTGGTCGCGAGAGTAATAAGACCTGTTCCAAAGATAGATCCAAGAACTGTTGCTACAAATCCACCTTTTGAGATTTGAACGTTATTAGGAACAGTATTTATCATAGGCGTACTACAACTCGAACCTGCAGAATCAGTTGGACTCAAAACTGCAGAATCAGTTGGACACGAACATGCAGAACCAGTTGAACTCGAACATGCAGAATCAATTGATGCTCTCCTATTTAAATTTCCATTCAATAAATTTTTGATTTAATTTTTTGAATTATAAGAGAAGATTTAATATTAAAAAAAAATTTCAATATACCCCCAAAGATCCCATTTTGTCGCATATTCACAACTAGAACGCGCCAAAGTATTATTAGGACCTTCACTGTTCATACAAAGGTTAGATGATTTATTCTGTTTAAGAAAAAATAATAGAATCAACTTAGAAATTGCTTATTAATAAAACAAGTATTAAATATAAAGGTTAAAAAATTTTACCGTTATCGAACATGAAGTATGATATATTGCCCAATCAGTAGAATTTGATTGGATATTACATTTAGCACAATTGATACTAAATCTTTGATTATCTGAATTAGCACTTTTAATATTTTTTTAAAAAAAAGAAAAGAAAAATATAATAAATTAAATCAGAATTGATCAAAAAATTATAAAAATTATGTAAAAAGATTAAATACAATACTAACTTATGATTTAATACAAAATAATTCATAAAAAGAACTGGGTTTTCCATTTCAATAACTATTATTTAAAATTAAAAAAGACCACGTTTTTAACTATGATTGTTTAACAATTATTTTGATTGATTAAATTAATAATATATATATATATATACTGTATATATATATATTGTATTTACCAAGTGTTCGGTAAAAGTCTTCAAACGGTCGAAACTCATAAAAACCAGGTATAGGTTGTGTTAACAGAAAAATTTCATAAGAAAGCGGTTTAATAATATTAGAATTTACTGTATAGATAGTAGTACCCGGGTTTCTGTACAGTTTTTTAAAATTGGATTTAAAATATTTTTGTTATTAATAAAAGTATAGTTTTACAAATTACTGTAACTTACGCATCACGAGGATTTAGTTGCAATCGAGTATTGGTATTTGATTGATTTATTGAAAAAACATCCCCATTATTGACTTCTGGAGAACATGATAATACAAACGTAGTGAAAAGGCTAATTAATAAGGAGGTTTTGTATAATAATAAAGATCTTGACCAATACATCCCTGAATTTGGAATATGAGTGAAAGTGTTTAACAGTTAATGTAAGAAAATGAAATATTAATGACAGAGTATACTTTTACCGTGCGTGAAAAAAGTGGATAATTATAATTTATATTTTCCTGTACAAACTCCCCTTTATACATTGCAATTTCTGAACCGTTTCCAGAAAATATTTAGTTTTTTTGGTTAGTATACTTTATTACACTATTTAAGCTACTATATAAGCTAATCTTATTACTAAATGTATAATGAAGAACTATTATGGAAATAAAAGAATGGCCAATGATTTGTGTAACCTCATGTCTTACACTCCGATTAAAAATGCAGCGATTGTCTTGAGTATTTGAATGAACTTTTCAATAATATCATCATTACCATTGGTCAAATTATCGAAATTTTGTTTAAATCTTTTTAAATAGTTCTTCTTCACTTAATTGATTCATAACGCAAATAAAACTAGTTTATCAGCAAGTTTTATCATTAAATTTTATATTTAAATTTCGATACAGAAAAATCATAATGGGACATATATATAGTACGATCGGCGTGATTATGAAACTCAAATCGAGATAGTTATTAAAGGTGCAAACTGTCACGTCATAGACGTAACTAGGACGTAATCCTAAGGGGAAGATAAGTTTGTATTCTATTACTAATTATATTATAATTAAAACATGTAGACGCATGATATATGACGTAACTTTTTTAAGCACGTCATAGACATAACTAGGACGTAACCACCCTTAAATAGTTATACAAACTTTATTTATAGCAAGAATGTAAATGTCATAAATCTATGCTATCCTTCTTGATATAATTAAGGGTGACACTGAAGAAGAATCTATATAACAAAAAATTTATCCGATATTTACAAATAATTGCGCAACATGGAAACGCGTGATACAGTATGGGAGCTAATACAGCTCCAATTAATTGAAATTTTAAACAGAGATTTTTTTTGCCAATGAGATAAATTTAATGTAAAAAAGTTTAATTTGTCTTTTAATTTCTTTTGGGACGATGCAACCAGTCACAGCAGATTGTGTAGCTGAAGTTATCCGGTTGCCTTTTTTTATAGATTGTAAATTTTTTCAAACAGAAAAAAAAATTTTAGTTTTTTATTTTCAATTTTTTTTTATTTAATACTGAAAGATATTTTGGTTCAAACAAAAAAAAAATTTTTTTTAATCAATTTTTTTTTCAATACCGTAAAATAAATAAATTTTTAATCATTTTATATATATATTTTTTTTTTGGCTCAAACTGAATAATAAAATTTTTTTTAATTAGTTTTTATTTTCGATCGTCGAAAATATATATTTTCGATCTTTTTCAAAACAAAAAAATATTTTCAATTAGGTTTTTTTTTATTTATAGGTTTTTTTTATTAATACCATGATTTTTTTCTTATTTTTAAATTGAAGAAACGCTCACCCCAGTGATATTTTCTGAGATGAGGAAATGAAAAATTGTAAGTTGTAGATCCGTAATCAGTCTGACGATTACCAATAAACTTTATGAGAAATAAAATGGTAAATAATTATTTTAGAAACGAGCGAGAAATGAAAGTATACAAATAATAATTTGCGAAAACAATCATTGTTTAAAGATTTAACGGACTATTTTTTCTTAATTAAAAAAACAATTTTTTTTTTAAGAGGAATATCTCCAGAACATATAAGGAAGGCGGAAAATTACGATACTATGGAAAAAGATTTATTAATTTATATTACAATATTTATTAGAACGGTACAAAAAAATCGTATTGATCTCTCTTATTATTCAATGAATCTATCTATAAATTTTAATATAAAAAATAATCTGGACGTTTAAAAATATAATAATATTTTTTCTCAATTACATTTTAAAGTCATCAAAAAGTTTATCAAAGTTGACAGAAAAAGTCATCAAAAAAGTCATTAAATCAATAGAAAAAATCCATCATCAAAAAAGTATATATATATTTTTTCTATAAAAAAAATGTATGATAGTGTTTTATTAAATTAACCATAAAAAAGGAAATATTTTTCGTTGGAATTCCTACGCAATGAAATTTCGTGAATTTTTTATCTCGAGTTGTTCGTATTACGCCACAACATGTTCACATTGTTGATTGTTCAACCCAAATTGTGAACCAAAATCCGTTCTAAACCTTTACTGATATGGTTAACAATAATGAGCAAAAAGATAAGAAAATGTTCATTTCATTTTACACTTGGCCAACATACAGAAATTTATTAATAAAAAATTGATATGATAGAATTATGTTATAACTTATACTGTACGTGCCTCATACAATTTATTGTAAATTTTTTTCGAACATTTTAATAAGACAATATTATACCATTATATCAACGCTTATTTATCTACATTACAATTATAAATTGAACCTTGCATATTTTTACAAATATAAAAATTCATTTCTTTTGTCAGTAAATAAAATAGACGTCATGTGACTGTTTAATATCGAATTTTTTTTTTGTTGAATTTATCAGTTCCAACTATTCTTATTACATTTGTTCAGTATCAAAGTATAATCTTATAAATTCTCTCAACTACTCAATAGAATTAAATATAAAACAAATTATTTGTGATTATATATTTTGATGTTACAACTGCACTCAAGGTAATGCAATAGAGATTTTGTATAGAATATCATGTAAACTCAACCATATATAAGTTCATATTGAACATATCTATCATAACATATTATATCTGTAATTCTCAGAGATCAATGGAAGAAAAAGATCTGTATGAATTTAACTGATTTGAAAATTAACTTTTTAAACCAAATCTGGAATGATTGATCATTCGGTTATATCAAATGTTGCCGATGAAATATTTGAATAATTTGAATAATTTATTGTTATAAATAATACTGAAATTATTTCAATTTACTATTTCAATAATAAAAATTAAAAAATGCTTATTGTAAATAACAATATCTATTCATTAATTAAATCGTTATTTTTTATAAAATCTTCTTCAATTAACCCTGCTGCGAACCAAGTTTTAAGATAAAAGAGATGCAACGAACTTTTTCTGGAAATTGGTCTTTTTTTTTTTTTAATAAGTCATGTAATCTATTTAAGTTAGTATAAACCTCATTAAGAAATATTTTTGTAAATTTGTACATCAATAGTTAGCTGAGATCCATATTATAACAAATCCGGAATACTTTAAATCATGGTCATATTAAGCATAAATAGACGGTGCCGAATAGATGTATAAATGGGATTCACATTAAAGAATTATTTCAACACAGCCACATGGTACTAAGATTTGTTGGAGAAGATGAGATTTTCATAGACTGTTATTTTAGTGATTATATGTAATTAATATAATTTTATGGTAAATTACTTATTTAATAAAGTGGAGCAAAAAAAAAGGAAAAAAAATGTAAATGAAAAATATAAAGCTTATTTATGGTGGGTAATCAATAAAATAAGGTACAGTATAATCAAAATTCAAAAGCGCTATAACGCTAAATTGATCACAGGGCCCATGGATGCCACTACGTAGCCCATTTTCATTCGGTCCATCCAATAATATATAAAATAGGTGCTTATAAAGAGGTGTTCTTATTCAGAGGGTGATTATATGGAGGTCTGACTATAACCAAAATGGTTGTTAATCATGTTAATCAAAAGCTTAAAAAAGTTATTTTAAAACGAGTTTGATTAGGATATTTTCATATTTTCAACATTCAATGACCTGTTCAATGTTTGGCGTTTTTTTATTAATCAAAAAAATGTACAAATTAAAAATTCCATACTTAGAAATAATGAGATTTTTAATTATATAAATAATTTTATTCTCCTCATTCCCTTTTCTTTCAAAATTTTCAATTATATAAATCTTTCACTCTTTGTTAAATAAATATGGGTAAAACATATAAGAAACAATGTAAAAAATGCTTTAATGATAGAAAATGGTGTAGTCGAACATGTCTTAAAAGTTATTTAAAAAATAATTTTTCAAACTGGACCAGTGGAAATGAAGAAATTGATGACTTTATACGAGAAATGCAATTAAAATTGAATGATAAGAATGATGTAGTATTTGAATGGGTACCCCATGACCAGCTTAAAAATTTAAAAAAGATAGGAAAAGGTGGTTTCGCAACGGTATATTCGGCAATATGGGAGCATGGTCCGTTACATTGTGACGGTAAAAAAAATGATCCAAATTATTTTGATGGTCAATGGAAAAGAGTAGCCCGCGAAAATGTTGCTTTGAAATGTTTAGATAATTGTAAGAATATCTCTAAAAAATTTTTAAATGAGGTATTAGATCTTATAAACTTTTTTTTTCAATCTTTCTTTTTTATACAATTAGTGTAATTTTTTTTCTAATTATTAAATAGGTTAGAGCATATTCAAAGGCTAGACGTGGCACAAAGGTTCTAAGCGTATATGGAATATCTCAAAACCCGAATACGAAAGAATATATTATGATTCTCGAGTACGCAGACCTTGGAGATCTTTCTTACCGGATAAATAAGAATAAAAATTTTGATTGGTCAAAAAAATTAAATAAGCTTATGTATATTATTAATGGTCTTAAAGAAATTCATCAAAAGAAGATGGTTCACCGAGATTTTCATACAGGAAATATATTATTCAAAACTGGTAAAAATATTGGTTTGGATATACGCATTTCGGATATGGGATTAAGTGGAAAAGTTGGTAATATAGATAATGAAATTTGTGGTGTGATGCCTTATATAGCTCCTGAAGTGTTAAGAGGAAATCCTTATACACAAGCAGCTGATATATATAGCTTCGGTATGATTATGTATTTTATAGCAACTTTAAGACAACCTTTTCAAAATTGTGCTCATGATATCTATCTAGCATTAGATATATGTGAAGAAAATAAAAGACCTGAGATAAATAAGTTAGAAGCACCAGAGTGTTATATTGATTTAATGAAAAGATGTTGGGATCCAGATCCGAACAATAGACCAGATACTAATAAAATATGTAAATTAATTGAGTTATTTCATAGGTCTTATACAACTAAATATCGTAAGTATGCTGAAATCAAACAGCAATTTGAAGAAGCTGAAAAGTATAGAATATCAAATCTTCTAATTAAGTCTCAAAAAGAAAATTCCACAGTTACTCATCCACAAGCTATTTATACGTCTAGATTATTTAATATCTCAGTTATTTCTGAAGGTTTAGGCATGGCAATTTGATGAGACAAATTATATTTATTCAATCATTTTATCAATCAAAGATGTTTGTAATAAGTTTAAGATATTAGGATATACTTGTTTTTTTAATATTTGTCAGTTAGTTATAATGAATAAATCAATTTTTTTAGAACTTGAAATATTAGATATTGTTTTCTATTTTTTATTTCCTGTTTTTATTTACTTGCTTTATTTTCTTATCTTTTTTTTACTTTTTATTTCTAAAATTTTAAATTTTTATCAATTTTTTCATTTATTTAAATATTAAATTTACAAATTATTTAAATTTATTTATTAAAAAATCTATTCTGTTTAAATAAAAACTGTGAATTTTACAAAGGCGATCAAAGTCTTATATCAGAGAAAGTCCTTAAATTAAATTACTTTATTTATAATGATTAATAAAAATAATAAACTAAGATAATAAACTAGGTTATTGATGATCTAGAGAGGACTATAATATCATTGAAATCATTTCTTTACCATCTATAGCAAGTGGCGGAAATTTCGATTAAATTTTTTTCGAATTTTTAGGTTAATTGATCGGAAAATTTTGTTAATGGTATACATTGATTCTTTATCCGTAGTACATTGATGAAATTTTGGAATTATGTTCACTTATTAAAAGATTCCTGTAATTCTGTCATGGCTCGAAGGAGCATCTTTAACTTACGCATCATGTGTATGATATTAACGTACGCACCGACTGGTATTAAATTTAACGCTATCACGTGCAAGTGCATAACTCCTAAACTCTGGTAGGAGATGTACGTACGCACGGTGCGTACGTTAAGGAACCTAGACTCGAAGATATTATAAAGCTGAATTCATATAACCAGTATTACCGAGATTTTAAAGTCCAAATGGTAACTCCAACTATAGCAATTATTAAATGGTCAAAATACATCAAATTAAAATCTATACAGCCTTTCCTGTATTTTATCTAGCATGTCTTTAAGTTCAATAGCTGGAATTCTAATCATCTAAAAGAATACATAATATGGTTTAATATTTTTTACAAATTTTACGAATCAAATTTATTGTACCATGAATTTACTGCTGATATATATTAAAAAAAAATGATTTAAATGAGTGTATTGAAATTTTTTAAAAAAAAAATGAAGGTGCGTGTCGTATGACAATAACAGTAATGTATGATTATTTGTCAATTTGGCTTGATTGGTTGATATTCCGTCATGTGATTTGAATTGAGAAATACCATCTTTTTTTTTAGTATTTATTGTTTAATTACTATTTTTTTTTAAAAAAAATCACTATTTAAATATATTTAGTCATTATTAATTGTTTGCAAATTATTTTTAATAAAAACCTCTTAGGTTCGAATCAAATAGGAGAATTTTAAAATGATTTAGCTGGATTGATATAATATGGTAAAATTGGTATTTTCTATTTTAAAATCATTAAATTAAAATTAATATTTTTGCTATATTTTTATTACTAAATAATGAAAAAAATTATTAAAAAAAAAATGCAATTAAAATTATTGTTAGCATTGATTATATCTAGTACCAAAATCATGCCAAACAGTATGATCGATTTTTGAAAAACTATTTAATTATTTGTCTTTAGATTACTCCTTTGACTTCAAAATGAATAGATTGGGCTATCTTTCTGTGAAATATTTAGTAAGCCTAAAATAAAATATATTTTTTATTTTATTAACTATAAAAATTAATCAATAATGAACGAATTTTTTTCTTCTTATATTAGGTTAGATCCGTTGACTGTGGCAAATCTATTAAATTTGAAATAAATAGAAATTTATTTTAAATAAAACTTTTCTCAAAAAGTTATTTTTAAAGATAAAAATATTTAAGAAATGTAGATGTAAAAGATCACATGAGCAGTAAGGTTCTTAAGACTCCAGCGTACCCTACAAAAATGTCACAAAAATGATCTGCATTAAGAGTTTGGCCCCGTATTAAGTATAGCGTTCATGTGACAAATAATGTGTAGTAACAAATAGAATTTGTCAACTGAAAAAATTCTCTGTCCTCAAAATACTTATAAAAAACAAAAAAGCAGCAGCAGGGGTAACATAGTGATAAAAAATTCGTCATATGATTTTTGTGCATTTTTGCAGGATTTGGTTATTGATTTAATCGATCACGAGTTATCATCTTTAATTAAAATTGATTTCTTGACCAAATAAATTTTGCTTAAATTGGACGATCAATTTTACCCTCACAAACCCAGCCATACTAATTGATCATAGTAATATTATATTATATAATACTAGCAGTTGCCCGTTGCTTCGCACCAGGAGTAGTAGTATTACTATATAATATTAAATTTTTAGTCACAATTAGAAGTTCACTTTGATTAATAATTAGATTATGAGAGTAATAAAATATAAATTAATTTAAATAAAATAATATGCAGGTAAATATTGTTATGTATCCATATAATTAAAAACAATCTCATCAAAAAAAAAATATTTTTATGTGAATTTATTAGTCAGGAAATAATATTGAAAAAATTAATCTCAATAAACAAAAAAGTTCTCATTACAAAATTATTAATATTGTTATGTATCTATATAATTAAAAACAAATTAACTAAAAAAAAATTTGTTGATACTAAAAAAAAATATTTTTACACGAATTTATTAGTCAGAAACAATATCATTGACTAAAAAAAATCTCATCAAACATCAAAAAATTTGTAGGACATAGTTCTAATTTGATTATAGTTTTGATCCGATCTAAACTAAAAAAGAATATTAATGTTCTTTTGGGTTAAAAAAAAAATTCTAAAAATTTTGATAAATTCCGATTAAAAAAAATCCAATAAAAATATAATAAAAAAAGAATAAGAAAAATTTTGGTTAAAGTTAACCGAAGGGATAAAAAAATTAATAAAAAAGATTAAAAAGGTAGTTTCAGTTTTTACGGTAAAATCCGAAAAATAAAAAATAAAAAAAAATTATTATTGTTTATCTAATAGAAATGGTTAGTTGTGGTAACTAAGAGAGTAGTAATAACCGTACTTTTTTTTGTTAGTATTAATTTATTAGAATAAAAAAAAAATCCAATTAAAATTTTAATTAACCGGAAATGTATCAGTTTAAAGATTTTCTTAAACGAAATAGATCGGGCGCAAGAATATCACACTTTTCAATGTTACACAATTCAAATTATTTATATGGGTAATCTAAATATGACAATTTTTTTAATTAGATAGATGATGAATAAATATGAATTAGTTTTTTTATGCGAAAAATTATTATTAAAATGTTAGACAATCGAATATCCTTTTTTTGTTTGATTGAACGACGAAATTGATTAAGAAATCAATTGCACATTGTCAATCAAGATTAATCAATTTTTGATTGATCATTCATCTGCAAGATTGATCAATTCATTAAGGATTATTTTTGAGTTAATTAAATACCTAATCCGCAGTCTTTAGTATCAGTTATTGCTTATCCCACAAATTTTAACAAAAAAAAATATAAATATAAATAACTAGTTGATTGAATGGTCACCCTTACATGACTCTTAATTTAACCCAAATTATCAAGTAATTTTTGACTATTTAATAGAAGTTCAAAAATTATAAAACATAAATAAAATTTTAAAAAGTAATAATTTCATGTCACTATTACATGATTAGTTAAATATTTGATTGGATAATTTTGGTTATATGATTAATTATTATAATTTAATAGTAACTGAAATATTTTTTTCTTATAGACTCTTGTGCAATCATTTAACTTTATCTTTTCTTTATTTTCTTCAATAATATACAATTGTTTTTTTAAATACAAATATATTATTTAACTGATTTAAAAAGTTTTACATGAACTTTGTTTTATTGAAAAAAATTGAAAACATAAAAAACTCTATGTTAATATTATGCAATATAAAGCCAATCAAACTCATAGTTATTACATCACAGATCACAGTCCAAGCTTTTCTTAAAGTGTTACAGGATGGTTCATGATTGAATCATTTTGAAAAACACAAAAACTGTTGCATATAACTATAAAATTTTTCTTTAATTTTTATTATTATTCAGATTATAATTAGTGATTGGTGATAATTAATATTTAAATATGTAGATTACAAATAAAATTACATTATATAATTTAAAAAATTATGGTAATAAAATAAGGTTTATTCTGTATGATCACCACTTTAGATGTAACTGATCATTTCTAAGTTGGTTTTTAACAAAAAAAAAAAGTGATATTCAAAATTATTCGAAGTATATAACTAGATGAGGAATCTTATCCAAGTCCTGCTTCAATTGAATTAAACGATTTACCCATTAATATAATTATCGAAAATAATAATGAAATTAATGTTGAAAATGAAATTGTTTGACTCAAACTTCTTTCAAATAATTTTTAACATAATGAACGTTTAAAATAGTTAATATACACTATAAATCTAAATTTAAGCTATTATTATTGTATCATTCTTTATTTATGATAAATTAATCTAAGATATATATTTTTAATGTTAAAGAATAAAAAGTATTAATTATGTTATATGGATTCATGTACGTTCGTTTTAACATTTTAATTTAAAGTCATAATAAGGTCGGGAGTGTCGTATATTGGTGTGGGTTTAAATGTTTAATAACGAAAATAATAAAATTTCACCAAAATTATCTTGAAATTTTCTTGAAGCGTAAAAAGTACAAAATGATTATTTATTACCGTATTACTTCAGTTACTAGGACAATATTAATTAATTACTCATTTAATTAATTACTCTATTAATTAACTGGTTAAGCAATTCTTATTTATTTGTTTGTAACATGTCATAAACTATTAAATAATTTTATATTTTATCTTGGTAAATTCAAATAAGGAATATTTCAATTATTTGATTAAAAATACTTAAAATACTTAAAAGTTTTTAATGTTCGTATCTTTAAATATAGATTGGGTCTGGTTATCATTATACTACTTGTTATAAGCTCCAAAACAAACATGACATGAATCACAGACTCACATTATTATTAAAAAGTGGACTAAAGTTAGATAGAGAAACTTCTTACACATTTGACGGAAGTTGGCACACAGTATTTGCATTTCACGTCTCCAATTTATTATGTTGTTCGTTCAAACAATGACATAAAAGTTTCGCATCAGCAAATTTTAACTTCCCTATTTGTGCTATATAAATTTGGTACGGCTTATAGTCATAAAGGATACCTAATGTTAACTTATAATTTGAAAGTAAATTTCATCAATTAGAACAGATTCAAATTAACGTATACTTTCATAAGAACCCAATCTTAAGTTTGGCATTCAAGTTAAATAATAAAAATTTATTAAGTATAAATTAGTTAATGGGCAGACAGGCAGACATGAAATCTTGTTATTAGTAGCACGTATTTAGATTACGCATTAACTCTTTATATAAAATACTTTTTCTAAGGGGTTCTCAAGCGACTCCTCAATGGGATAACATAGTGATACTCAATCATTACGACCAATTTAAATAAAGATCACGATTATATTTTGAGCAACCACTCTTCGCTTACTTAATTATCATATTGTCCTTCAAAGAGTCGTAATAAATAAAGTAAACTATGCAACAAGCAAAAGAAATATCTCCAGCGGTAATTCAAAATGCTCTCTTTGTAGATTACACAAACCTTCAAATGTTGATGAGTCTCGGACTGTGTAACAATAAATTAGGCAAGAATAATGCGAAAATGTGCCGGAGTTTATCTGTTAGGTATGGGGAAGATTTCTATCCAGAATTCTGGTGATGCCTCTTTTTTCATATTTTCAAATTTTTGGACGAGATGGTTATGATCCATATGACTTACTTGGTTGCTTGTAGTGCTTGAATTATCCCATCAATGATAATTGATAAATTTTAGCCAATCAGCGTAACCCTATGGAAAAAAGATGTTTTAGACCTCCAGTTTTATTTATCGGAATTGAAACTCATTTAATCTTTCATGACCGATATTCCTGTAATTAAATTGAAAAGAAACGACATACAGAAAAATTTTAAGATTATCCTTTACGGTAAATTTAGTTTGTTTAGTCTTCAAAATAAATTTTCGAAAATATTCAATCACGAGAATTTATATTATGGTGGAGAAAAATTTTGTTTACCGTAAAAAGAATAAGTTTTTCAGACGATTTTACTTTCCTGAATATATTTTATTTTTATTTTTTTTTAGCTTTATTTAAATTCTAAATACGATTTTTTTGGTAAATATGAAAAAGTAAGTTTATCTATTTTATTGTCGCTGTATTGCTGAAGCTATTCTTTTTAATTTAACAAGATTATTCTAATGAATAAATATACATATATATAATCAATTGATTAGAATATAACATCAATAGAACATAGTAATTTTCTAAGCTTTATTAATAATTATATTTTAATTAAAATGAGTAGTAGTAATTCAAAAAAAACTCATCGCTATTAATTTTCCTATACAATTTGAAACACTTCACATTCTTCTATATTAAAGAAATTATCAGTTCTAATCGATTTTTCATAATATTTTTTTGTACTAGAACAACATATATAATCCCATATAATAAGATCACCTCCACCAAATGATGGACCAGATAAAGACCAATTATATATAGCAAATTTTTCATTCACTACGCGGCTTAAAACATAATTGTCAATTCTATCATTGGTAAAAGAAAATATAAAACTATCTTTAGTAGTTTCATAATATCCATCAGATCGATATTCAATTGGATTATACCCTCCAAGAATTTCGTTACTATCTTTCACTTTAATAATTGTTACTGTGCGAGGTTTATTATCGCAAATTAAATGAAATTTATTTGCTGAATGTCCGTCACGAGATGCGCGAAATAATAATTTAAATTTATACGAAGAAGCCAACTTGTCCGTGATTTCTAATCTATCGATCCATTTTGAGATTAATTCAATATGTTGATAAGTTATAATTTTTGAATCAATAGTTCTCATATTTTCATATTCCGAAAGACCTAAAATATGTTCCGATTCATCATCAAGAACTGGAAGACTTGAAAAAGTATATTCCGATTTATCAACTGGTTTGCTATTAGGATCTGAAAGACTTAAAAAAGCTTTTAATAAATCTTTATATAAATTTTTGGGAAATATTTTTTCATAAGGTAAAACTTTTTCTAAAAATTCTTTAGAAGTTAAATTATAAAATTTAATAAATAGAATACATCCTTGTAAAGTATTCTTTAAACTTTTGAAATCATATTTTGAAAAGTTTGTAAGATCAGAGGGAAGGTAGAGATTTTGAGCAAGACCCCATTAAAGAACATATTCCCAAATTTGAATTTCACTAATTTGACGATTATCACTTTGAATAATTGTAACTAAAAGTTTTTCTGGGATTGAAGAAAAATTTAAAGAATTAAATATCTTATCTGGTCCTTTAGAAATTAAATCAGTACAATATTTTTGAAGTTCCAAGAAAGAATCATTCTCATAGCTTGTTTGATATATCAAATTAAAATTTTGTTCCATCCAATTTGTTTTATTTTAAATCAAATAAAATTGTAAATATGTGATTAATTCTTGAAGATTAAGTTCGATAGCAGCAACTAAAACTTTAATTAAGTCTAAAGTATCATATTCGTTCAAAGAAAGTTTTCCACCGTATATATACCTGAAATAAAGAAAATATTCTTAAATTAAAATATTATTAAAATAAAATTTATTTAATCGTCTTTAAAAATTAATTACCTTAAAATTATTTGAAAAATTTCAGGAAAAATATTTGAAAATTTAATATGTACCAAAGTACCATCATTTTTCTTTTTATTAGTTGACAAAATTCTTCGCAAGTAAGGAGAACGATAATGTAAAATAACCATGTGAGCACGAAAGAAATTTACATAAGGGTCATTACCAACTTCAATAGTAATATCATAATATTCTTCATCATTTAAAATTTAAAGTAAATTTTGTGATAATTTTGGTAAAAGTTTATTATCATCCATTATTTATAAATTTTTTAACGTTAGCGAAAAGAAAAAGTATTAATCCAAATACGTAAATGTTAGACCTTATATAATTTTCATTGTACTCTGTGCAACATAACATTATATTATGGACAAAAATAAATATGGTTAAACCTGCGTGTAATTCATGTGTAACAAAGAATATATATTTATCTCGTTACTGCGTATGAATAAATTTTTGGTTTATTGCGTTTAAGCGTTAAAATAATGAAAATCATAAAGAGTATAAAAAAGATAATTGTAACATGTTCAAGATATTTGTGAGTTTCAGTGCAGTAATAACTAACTAACAAGTTTATAGTATTACTGATAATACAAATTGAAATAATATGACATAAAATTTGGTATTATCCTTCGCCCATAAGTGTCGACAAATAAAGAATTTTTTGATAGTATCGAGTAAAATCTTTTTGAATAAAATACAAAATAATCAATACGGAATTAATGAAAAAAATTTCAGAAATAATTTTACATTAAATTTATTTAAATTGATTTTTAAGTAACCAATCAATTCTTTTGGCAAGTTCGTAATTTTTTGAAATATCGTAAATATTATGTAACGTGAATATTCTTTAAATAAAGTAAACGAGTTTTAAATCCAAAATTAGATTTTTAGGTAGTAGTGGTAATTGTACATCCTCCGTCTAAGGAAAAAAAAAATACAAGAGAATTTTCTTATTTCCACGAGATTATAAAATTTCATTTTTTATTTTATTCGTATCGACTAATTTTGAAACCGTAATAATTAAATTTACGCATCATTATTTATAGAAAATATAATAAATTATAAATCTAAAAAATTCAGTGGGAAAATTTTATAATAATCATGTGTTTATTCATAAAATTTTTCTATCTGGCGTTATATAAAAAATGTATATCATTTAATTAGACAATGTTAAAATGTCTCAAGATTTTAATAACCAAGTTAGTATACTACTTTTTGATTGTAACAGTATTTCAAACGACCGGACTATTATATATTAATTTAAATTTGCTTCTACAATATTTTGGACTATAAATTTATAATGGATTAATGTATATTTTTGATACAAGTTCCAATAATTTCATTTATTAACGTTATGAACCAACAAATTGGTTTAATCCATTCTATATACATAAGAATCAGGAGAACAAAAATGGAAGACTTTAAAAAGGTATTTTAAAATTCTAAAGCAGCTCATTGTTTTACATTACTTTGTATTCGATCGATGATAAAATTACGTTACCGTACTAGAGGTTGGAACCGACCAAAAAAACCTTAATCGATTAATAATCGATTAACTAAGGGCCCTAATCGATTAATAATCGATTAATATTAAAATATTAACAATTTTTTTTTTTTTTGACCGCAGATTGCACCAAATTGTTTTTGATCATACATTTAGTTATAGGAAAGTCTTATTTATTATTATTATCATTAAAAAATTAATACAAATTCTTCCAAGTTCGGAGAACACGTGACCAAAAATTCACAGCTCTGGGCCGCATTAGATAATTTGACCAGAATTATGGGATGATAATTTTAATCGATTAACCGATTTTTGAGATACCTTAATCGATTAACAGTCTTAGTCGATTAATCAATCGATTAACCTTAATCGATTCCAAACTCTATACCGTACACGTTATAATAGTTTTTAATGTAAATGTGCCATAATTCAGGTCATTGAATCACTTTGAGATTTTTGATGATAATAACAATAACATATAGAAATTGAAAAATTTGAGAATTATTACTTACCACAATTACAATGAGCATAGCATTTGTAGCAATTTTCACAAGCTTCTTTATTACTTATGGCGCCTTCACCAAATCTCGCGATACAGTGACAGCTATCCCCATACGTTTTGCCAGTACTTCCACAGCAATAGCAGCCTAATAATAAATAATAATAAATAAATTTTAATTAGTTTATAGTCTACGCATAGGAGAATNCCATACGTTTTGCCAGTACTTCCACAGCAATAGCAGCCTAATAATAAATAATAATAAATAAATTTTAATTAGTTTATAGTCTACGCATAGGAGAATATTAGGCAAGTTATATCTCATATCAAAATCTCAAGTGATTCAACGACCAATTTTACTCACACATTATTAACATCTACGATTTGTAGAAGGAAGGAGAATACTGCCGCTTTAAATATTATTTTCAAATGATTATTACGATCATTTAAAATGAAAATGATCTGCTAAAGGCGTTAAGTCTTATGTCATGATTTTCATTTGAATATCAAAGCCACATTCCTTTAGCGGTTAATCCACTCTTGAAAATCCTCACAAGCATGTGTGTTCTTTGTCTCATTTCTATTCATATAATCACAATTTAAATAATATTATCTAATCTTTACTAACAGTAAATGCCCGATATAATGAACTTTTTTTTGGAAAGTTATGGGAGTCCAATTGAAAAAAATCTGGACTATTGGGCTTGGACTAATTGGAGATAGTCCATTCCAAGTCCGATTGAATTCTTATAGTTCCAGTACTTTTGAGTTAATTCATTAATATTATTAATCCAACAATTTTATTTCAAGCTTGATAATTTTTGTAAATAAAAATAATTAGTTAATTATTTTGATTCTTCTAAATCTTCAAACTAAATTGTTATATATGACTATTTAGAATAACTAGTAATAGTATGTGACAATTTATCCAATAAAATTTGGATTTGTACTTATCAAAGTCCAATAGTTCAATTATCCAATTGTTCAATTGTCCATTGGCCCAAAAAGTCATCATTACAACTTTCTAATTAACTGAATTTAATCAAGAGTGATCGTTACCGACGAATAATTAATTCAACAAATTATATTTTAAAATTATATTTTAAGGATTTTTTTAATGTTGGATTTAAGAATTTCTATGAATTCTTCTTTGACATAATTATATTGTTCTTTTTTAGATTTATTTTTTCTACCTTCAATCAAATTTTTACGTGAATAATAAATAATCTATCTTAAAGTTTCGTTATTACCGTAATTGTAGAAAAACTAAAAACGTGATAGCTAATTAATGAATTCGAAAATACAAACTGTTTAAAACAGTTTGTTCTCTTGATAATTAATAATTTTACAGGAAACTAGTGTACTTTTGGATATAGTGAGTGAGTTTATTTTTGAAAGTATACTAATAAATTAATAAAAGATTTTTTTATAACAATAGATTGTGTTAGTGAGATTTATAAAAAAATTCAATGAGATTTTTTTTTAATAACAATAATAGATTGGTATCATAGTACAATGGATGGTATAGTACAATGGATTGATTTAATAAAATTTTTTGTGTTTTATTTTAATAACAATAGATTGGTAACAATAAAAAATGTTGCAAAAACATTAATAATGAATTGGCAAATCATATTGGTTTTCAATAATTACTAGTCGCAGTAATAATTGTCTATTACCAATCTATTGTTATTAAAAAAAAGTCACCAAAAATTTTATCATACCTATTGTTGTTAAAATAAATCCCAAGAAATTTTATACCTAGTATCTTTTGTACTATACCAGTCTCTTATACACATCTAGATGTGTATAAGAGACAGGATCACAGTCCAAGCTTTTCTTAAAGTGTTACAGGATGGTTCATGATTGAATCATTTTGAAAAACACAAAAACTGTTGCATATAACTATAAAATTTTTCTTTAATTTTTATTATTATTCAGATTATAATTAGTGATTGGTGATAATTAATATTTAAATATGTAGATTACAAATAAAATTACATTATATAATTTAAAAAATTATGGTAATAAAATAAGGTTTATTCTGTATGATCACCACTTTAGATGTAACTGATCATTTCTAAGTTGGTTTTTAACAAAAAAAAAAAGTGATATTCAAAATTATTCGAAGTATATAACTAGATGAGGAATCTTATCCAAGTCCTGCTTCAATTGAATTAAACGATTTACCCATTAATATAATTATCGAAAATAATAATGAAATTAATGTTGAAAATGAAATTGTTTGACTCAAACTTCTTTCAAATAATTTTTAACATAATGAACGTTTAAAATAGTTAATATACACTATAAATCTAAATTTAAGCTATTATTATTGTATCATTCTTTATTTATGATAAATTAATCTAAGATATATATTTTTAATGTTAAAGAATAAAAAGTATTAATTATGTTATATGGATTCATGTACGTTCGTTTTAACATTTTAATTTAAAGTCATAATAAGGTCGGGAGTGTCGTATATTGGTGTGGGTTTAAATGTTTAACACGAAATAATAAATTTTTATCAAAAAATTTCTTGAAGCGTAAAAAGTACAAAAAAGATTATTTATTACTGTATTACTTCAATTACTAGGACAAAATTAATTAATTACTCATTTAATTAATTACTCTATTAATTAACTGGCTAAGCAATTCTTATTTATTTGTTTGCAACGTGTCATAAACTATAAAATATTTTTATATTTTATCTTGGTAAATTCAAATAAAGAATATTTAAATTATTGATTAAAAATACTTAAAATACTTAAAAGTTTTTAATATTCGTATCTTTAAATATAGATTGGGTCTGGTTATCATTATACTACTTGTTATAGGCTCCAAAACAAACATGGCATGAATCACAGACCCACATTATTATTAAAAAGTGGCCTAGAAGAGAAATTTCTTACACATTTGACGTGAGTTAGTTGTACAGTATTTACATTTCATGTCTCCAATTTATTATGTTATTCGTTTAAACAATGACATAAAAGTTTCGCATCAGCAAATTTTAACTTCCCTATTTGTGCTATATAAATTTGGTACGGCTTATAGTCATAAAGGATACCTAATGTTAACTTATAATTTGAAAGTAAATTTCATCAATTAGAACAGATTCAAATTAACGTATACTTTCATAAGAACCCAATCTTAAGTTTGGCATTCAAGTTAAATAATAAAAATTTATTAAGTATAAATTAGTTAATGGGCAGACAGGCAGACATGAAATCTTGTTATTAGTNTTTCCTTGATTTTTAATAACAAAAACGTCAAGTCTGACGTTTTTAGCTAATAAAAATTGATTTTAATTACAAAATCATCAGACTTTTGATTAAAAAAAATCATTTTTTTTTTGATTTTTTAATCACAAAAACGTCAAGTCTGACGTTTTTGATTAAAAAAATCATTTTTTTTGATTTTTTTTGTATTTTTTTTTGATTTTTTAATCACAGAAACGTCAGGTTGATTAAAAAAATCAATTATTTTTGATTTTTCAATCACAAAAATGTTAAGTCTGACGTTTTGATTAAAAAAAATCAATTTTTTTTTGATTTTTCAATTACAAAAACGTCAAATTTTTGACGTTTTTGATTAAAAAAAAAAAAATTTTTTTTTTTTTTCACATTTTAATAAAAAATGATACTATTTCATGATCTGTCAAGTTAACATTCTTTTTGAGCAGCACAGTTAAACTCAGCGCAAAAAGTTTCCATAGTGAATGTTCACTTTCTCTGTACATGTTCATGTTCATGTTCATGTTCATGTACATGTACATGTACAAGTACATAATAATATAATATATTACATATTAAAAAATTCTTCTTTATGATTTTTTCTGTGCAACAATGAGGCTTGATGATTGACAAAATTTGTTTGTTGTACATACAATGTTTGTACTTATATGATCAACGCTTTTGAGTATAATTCATTTTGCATAAATATTATTGCCAATATATTCCTATACTAATAAAGCCATAAAGGCGTCTAATAATAAAAAAAAGAAAAAAAAAGATATTTGCATTATCTTTTCCAGTCAGAAAGAATTTTGATATAATTATATAGTAATGGCTCTTAGTAATGATAAAGGTAATAATCATATATATAATATAAACATTTAATACAATTAGAATTCTAATATTTCAAACAAATTTTTAATGTAATAAAACTAGTTTCTGGTAATATTGAATTATTTGAAAGAAGTAGTACTAAAGAATTTGGAGGAAATGACTCTAAGGAATTCAAAGAAAGTGGCTTTAAAGAATTTGAAAAAAGTACTACCAAGGAATTTAAAGGTATATTAAATATGCTAAAATATTAAATTTTTATTTGTAAATACATTTAAATGCTATCTATAATAATACCTTATATAATATACAAATATAGCTCGTAAGTTAATAGGTTATCTTATAATCGAATAATAATGGAATTACTTATCATTTTTATTACATTCCATGTAATTAAATAATTCATTTAATGATTAAAATACTATAGTCAGTAAGTTATTAGTTATTTAAACTTTTAATTCTTTATTTTGTTTATTTTACATAATATTCAATAACTAAATTCTTTTTTTAATTAACTATTTAATAATTAATTGTATTACAGACGGTAAGTTACAATATCATATTTATTTGTTTAATATTTTATTATAATTCAACTAATTATATTTTTAATTAAACAACTAGATTGTAAGTGATATATTTAATTTACAGTAAATACTTTATATTATATTTATTTTTAACTAATAATTAATTAATAATACTAGGGTTTAAGTTATAGATTTTTATATTTCTATTATTTATATAATTTAAACTAACTAAATTCTTTATTTATATAGATCGTAAGTTATAAGTTATTTATTCAATTCTATTATTACTTGTTGTTATAATATTTACATATAATTTAAACTAACTAAATTCTTTATTTAAAAAATTATTTTATAGGGAGTAAGTTATTTATTTAATTCTGCCTATTATTACTTATTGTTATAATATTTACATATAACTTAAACTAACTAAATTTTTTATTTAAAAAATTATTTTAATAATATAGGGAGTAAGATATTTATTTGTTTCTATTAATACTTCTTCCTTATAAAAAATAAATGTCCGGAAAAGATGATATAAAATTTTAGGTTAAAGCAATTATAATGATGATCACTTGTTGATCATCTTTTTGTAACAAATTTTATGAAAAAATATTTCAGGTCAATTTCCAGACAAATTCCGGACAAAAATGAATGTCCAGAAATGAGCGTGTTTTGGATCAATTTCTGTCCAGAAAATGTCTAGAAAATGTCCAGGTACTTTTAGACAAATTTTCCAGACAATTTCTGGACAATTTCCGGACACTTATTATTTATAGGGCCTGTTATAATATTTACATATAATTTAAACTAACTAAATTATTTATTTAATAGATAGTAAGTTATAAGTTATTTATTTAATTCCGTTATTACTTATTGATATGACATTTACATATAATTTAAAACTAAATTCTTTATTTAAAAATTATTTAATAATTTAGAGAGTAAGTTATTTATTTAATTCTATTGTCACTTATTGTTATAATATTTGCATATAATTTAAACTAACTAATTTCTTTATTTAAAAAATTATTTAATAATTTAGAGAGTAAGTTATTTAATTAATTCTATTATTACTTATTATTATAATATTTGCATTAATTGCATATAATTTAAACTATTAAACTAATTTCTTGTTTAAAAATTTATTTAATAATATAGGGAGTAAGTTATTTTTTTAATTACATTATTACTTATTGTTATAATGTTTGCATATAATTTAAACTAACTAAATTCTTTGTTTAAAAATTTATTTAATAATATAGGGAGTAAGTTATTTATTTAGTTCTATTATTATTTATTGTTATAATATTTTCATATAATTTAAACTAACTAAATTATTTGTTTAAAAATTATTTAATAATATAGGGAGTAAGTTATTTATTTATTTCTATCGCTTATCGTTATAATATTTGCATATAATTTAAACTAATTAAATTCTTTACTTAAAAAATTATTTAATAATATAGGAAGTATTTATTTGTTTAATTCTATTGTTACTTATTGCTATAATATTTATATATAATTTAAATTAACTGAATTCTTTAATTAAATAGATCGTAAGTTATAAGTTATTTATTTAATTCTGTTATTATTTATTGTTATAATATTTGCATATAATTAAACTAACTAAAGTTTTTATTTAAAAAATTATTCAATAATATTGAGAGTAAGTTATTTATTTAATTCTATATTATTGTTATAATATTTTCATATAATTTAAACTAACTAAATTCTTAAAAAAATATTTTGTAATATAGGGAGTAATTATTTGTTTAATCTATTATTACTTATTGTTATAATATTTATACTAACTTTTTACTTATAAAAATTATTTAATAATATAGCTTGTAAGTGATTTGTTGTTACTATTGTTTATTTATTTTATAAATATTTATTTGTTAATTGAATTCTATTCATATAAATTTCCGTTAATTTAGTTAGTAAGTTGTGAATTATAAGTTATTATTATTTACATTTATACAAAAACTAAGACATAAGACATATATTATATTTAAATTTCTATTTAAATTTTAGAGTAAGTGTTGATTTTAATCTTAAATTTTAGTGTAATTTTTAATATAAACTTCAATAATAATTTTAATTGCTTAAATCTATATAGATATGGAAAAAGTGGAAATGCAATTATGGATAATTTTATTTCGGAAAAAAATTTAAAATGGATTCCTTATGATAAATTTGAAAATATTGAATATCTTGATAAAGGAGGATTTGGTACTATATACAAAGCTAATTGGTTTTATAATAATGAAGATAATAAAGTAATTCTTAAATGTCATAATAATTTAAGTGAAAATTTGAATGAATTTTTAAATGAAGTATGATAATATTTTATTTATTTTTTTAATTTGAATCATAATTAATTTGTACTAATATATTATCAACTTTTTTATAGTGGGAATATCACGTAAGTTGTTTAGATTCAAATGATATTATTTATTTTTATGGGTTTACAAAAGATCCAGATACTTTGAAATATATGGCAGTAATGGATTATGCAAACAAGGGTAATTTAAGAGGAAACTTAACAATAATAATCAAAAGTGGTTGGAATAAAAAATTATATATGTTATTTGGAATTATTTCTGGACTTAATGGTATACATAGACAAAATCTTATTCATTGTGATTTTCATGATGGCAATATTTTAAATCATAATGAAAGAAAAGTTTATATTAGTGATTTAGGATTATGTAAATCTATAAGATCATTTTTGAAAAAATATGATATTTATGGTGTTATACCATTTATGGCACCAGAAGTTTTAAGAGGCAATTCTTATACTCCAGCTAGTGATATATATAGTTTTTCTATGATTATGTGGGAATTTACATCTGGGGTACCACCATTTAATAATAGAGCACATGATTTTCAACTTAGTTTAAGTATTTGTGAAGGTGAACGTCCTGAAATTATTGAAAATGCTCCACAATGTTATGTAGATTTGATGAAAAAGTGTTGGGATGAAACCCCATTAAAAAGGCCATCTTCTGAAGAAGTGTTAAATATTATTAGTGATTGGATTTTTCTTCCATCTAATGTGAAAGTTGAAGATATTAATGAAGAATTAAAATGCAATATTATGGAATTTATAAATGCACCAATTGAGCATAACAATAATCTTGCTACTGAGTCTCATCCACAAGCATATTATACAAGTCGCTTACTTGATTTTACTAGTAAACAGTTGAATGAAACTCTTAAAAATAGAGATTTGCAAGCTTATTATTCAAGTCAATCTACTAGTGGAAAAGTGAATGAAGAAAGTGAAGATTCACAAGCTAGTGTAAAATTAAATGAAATGCTAGTAAATAAAGATTTAGATGATTGTATAGTTAATTTGAAGTCATTAGGTATGTAATATAGTACATAAAAAGAAATAATTTTGCAAATTATTTCAGTTATGTGAAATTAATTTTATTTATTTAATTATTTAGATATTAAAACAGATAAAAAATAACTAGTAATAATTATTTGTCTTTTTATAAGAATTTATAGTTTTTTTTATGTGATATTTTTAGTTTGTAATTTAAATAATTCCTTTTTTTATATTTTATTCTTTTATTCATATATGTATTCTCTTTTTTCAGAATTATTTAAACACTAAGGCTAGAGTAGTAAATATTTTACAAATTTCTTAGTTTGTGATAAAATAAATTTTTTTTTAACTTTCCCAAATATTAAATATAAATTATAAAATAATTCTAAAATATAAAATTTAAAATAAAAATTTTTTTTATATTCATTATTTCAATAGCTAATTGTATTTTATTTATATTGTTAACTTTTATTCTTAATATTATATTTAAAACCTGCAAAAATATTCTTTATCAATTTAAGAAATTATATTATTAAAACAACATTATACATAATTATACATAATTACTCTAACTTTATAAAAAGTAATGACAGGCAGTCTAATGGTCAAATTGTGAAATACAAATTTTTTAAAGCTTTTTTGCTTACAGCATTTGTAAAATTATTTCAGTAGTTATTTAGAATTTTTTTATTCAGATCATATTAACATTTCCTAATAAAGATGTATATGGAAGTTATTCAGCATGTCTAAGTGACAAAAAAGCAATTAATTTTACATTTGCCTATTCAATTCAGAAGGTTATTTTTGTCTTATAAGCTAATTTTAAATAAATCTTTTTAATAATCTTAATCCTTCACATTTGATAATTGATTATGTAAAAGGTATTTGCACAAAATATGACTTTTTAATTTATATTTTACAAAAAATTTTATTGTTAGTTGATCATATATACAAGTTTTTTGGAATAATATCCATAAAAATAATCATTTATTAGACTTTCTCTATAGAGAAATAGAGATAATACAAATAATGTAACAACTAATAATAATAAAACAAAGATGTTGATCTAACAAAAATCTTTTCCACTGGATAAATAGTAAATTGAAAATATAATGAAGTATACAATTATAATAACAATAGAAGTAAAGGAAGCAATAAGTATTAAAGAACACCTGATAAAATTTCCACCCTGATTTTCAAGCGCCACTGATTGCTAGAATTATTCGAACCAATCAAAATGATTTTATGATTTGAAACGTAAACATATTTTAAGAAATAATTGATAACCAACAATTATTCATATTTTTGTTTTTACTTAAGGTTTTTCCAGTACAATTCCATCATGTTTTACTTTTACATAGGTTCACAAGTGGATCTTCCGTTGCTGATAAACTTACATCATCTTTACGTAATCTTTATAATAATTTAAATCAAACTACTGAAATGTTGTTCCACACACAGGTAATCTAATAATTTATTATCTTATTTTTGAAAGGATTTTATTACCTTAGTACTACTATTTTGTGATAGTCTATTTATAGTATGTTTATAGTATTATAGTATCATATTTTTATAACAACGTAATTTAATTTATTTTATGTTTTTCCTTCCCCCTTTCTTTACGATACATTTTTATTAGTTTTTAATTCATACAATGATTTTGATTTTTCAAGACTGTCACAAAAAAAAATCTTGTAGGTGCCGGTTTATACAAATTATTTTAAAAAGGTATTTAATTTAATTTAATATCAAAAGGTAAAATGATTAAATATTCTAATCATTTCAGAACCTTTGGGTCGCCAAATAAGATTTAAAAATATTTTAATTTTTTCATATAATAAAATACTAGGTGAAAAGAAATACAAAATATTCATTCATTTATAATGACGATTTAAATTAGTTTCAATTTACAACAAGATTTTTTTGAGCCAGTTGAATAAAATTGATCTAAATATTAATCTGGGAATAGTTGCTGTTACTGCTGAAAAAGAAGAATATTTATAAATAAAATTTGTGCAAGTTATATTCTTAATATGAATGATAATAATCCAAATGCTTTAAAATGGATAAAAAGTGTAAAATCTAATGGTTAGTGAAGTATGATATTATTGTAAATTCGTAATAAAAGAATTTTTCAAACAACATGGAATAGAACAAATAATACATTTTAGTTGTAAATTGCAAATTATTGGATTACTATAGCAATGTATTCAAAAAAAATACTTTATGCATATTCATAGCAAGTTTTCAATATGTTATTACTTAATGCTTTATATATATATATATTTGAGAAGTGTTTTCCCTCAATTTGCTCAAAAGTAATGCTGATGGTTTATGCAGTAAGAATGCTGGAGTCAAATTATATCTATTCTGAAGCAAGCAAAAATTTCATATTATCCTATACTAAGTCAACATCCTAGTTTACATCAGATGGTGAAAAACTAGGTCTTCAACAAAGAGATCATTAATTGAACATTATATGACAAGCGAAATTTACTTCCTACGTGCGAAATATATTTTTATTTTAAAATAATATTTTCAATGAACTTACTAATATCATTGTTACATTAGTCCAATTATCGAGATTTTGTTTAAATCTTTTTGAATTACAAGTTTGACACTTAATCCTTCTCTGTATTTATTTGCTTGCACTCAAAACATCTTTCAAATTTTTCTTCATTATTTTTTGAATGACAAGAACCACAATATTTATCTTTAACTACTTGTTTGCGACTTTGTGTCGAACACATACGTATTTAGTTCTTCTCAATTTAATTGATTAATAACGCAAATAAACTAGTTTATCAGCAAGTTTACCATTAAAATTTTTTAATTTTTTTTTAGTAAACTTAACTGCCGGAAAATGTTAAAAAAAATTTATAATGAATAGTCATCAAATTTGTCATTATAAATCAAAATAGTTACTATAAAAGCTTCTTATTCTAAATGGCTTCTATGAATTTAAAAAATGATGAATGTAAGAATAGGATGAAGAATAAGTCAGCGTTGATATTAGTGAGTAGTGATACAGTAAGATCATTAACAGGAAATATCTCTAACGTGAGAAATTCATTTCTTATGTTATGGAGGTAACGTTCAGAGATATGCATATTTATTTATTTATTTATTTTTTTTAAGGAATGACTAGGCGTAACCCGTCGAGGATGATACTTGCCATCAAGTAAGAGAGTAATAATAACACACTTATATATTGTTACCATATCTTAAAGAAATTCATTATAGCAATCTATTGTTATAGAAAAAAATTATCTCACTAATTAATATGAAAAAACAAATTTCCAGAAAAATTAATAATAACGATCTATTGTCATGAAAAAAAAAATTCCCCATAAAAATTAATTATAGTGATATATTGTTATGAAAAAGAATTATTGGTACAAGAAAAAAAAATTTAAAAAAGGGGGAGCCGAAAAAATTAGATCGGTTAGAAAAAAAAAACGAAAAAAATAAAAAAAAAATTTCATTGGATTAGATGAACAACATGCATGACTTGCTGATCAATCCGTTTTTTACCGATTCTTCAAAGACTGAAATTATTTTTTATTAGTATTTTTTATTCTTCGGTTTTCTTTCAATAGTTTTTGTCTAATATCAAAAAAATTTTATTAATCATTTTTTTTATTTTCAGTATTTTAGTTCAATACCAAAATAAATATTTTCTAATCATTTTTTTTTGTTTTTGGTTTTTAAAAGTTCAATATTATTTCTTTGGTTCAAAATTTTTTTTATTGGTTTTTTTTTATCCTTTATTTTACTTTTCAGGTTTTTTACTATTATTCATTTTTGATTTTGCAATTTTTTCTTATTGTTAAATAGATTAAAAGTCTTTTTTTAAACACAAAATTGGAGTTTGTTAGGATAATGTAGTTTATTTCTAATTTTTATTATTTTTCTTAGTTTGACCTAACTATGTTTTCCGGTTATAAAAAATAATACACATGTATGACACATTATTATTATTACACAAGTATTCCCTTATTTCTATTGCATAAAAAAAACGCTTATAAATATCCATTTTATAATACATCCCAATTTCAGTTCATTATGCAACCTAAAAAGTAAATTATAAAATAAATAATTAGTAAAATTGAGAATTATAGATCAAGTAGACGAAAAATATTGTTAAGTATGTCAAGACATTCGAGTGGATAGGGTTGAATATAACGTTCAATTTACTTGAATTGGTGTATGGCCTGAGAAGTAAGTTGAACTCTGATGAAAAACTGTTTCGCAATGGGGTTGTACCTTTTTTTTTTATTTTTTTTTTAGTGGTGAACGTATTAATTATATGATAGAGAACATACAATCAAAACCAAAGTAAAACTGAAGTTTGAAAATAAACAAAAGTCTTAATACCACACCTTCACCATATCCAATGAAGTAGTAGTATTTTTCATATACTAACAGCCCTAATATACACTTGTTTTGGGAAACAGGATTCAGTTTGAAAATAATTTACTATACTCATTCATTATTTGAATTATCGAATTTTAAGTTTTAATTAAAGTTAAAAAAAAAACTTCCATTTTGATTAATTATACGTAGGTATTATCGGTAAGATCATTTCGATAGTAAGGCATTTTAGGAAAAGGTTTACTTTATAGGAATTAACCAAAAATTAAAATAAATTCCTGCATTGTTTGAGGACCCAGAAATATATATAAAAGGGTCAGGTTTGAGTTTGCGTATTTTGAACTAAAAAAATCATGAAAATCTTACCTTTTTTAGATAATTTTTGATAATTTCAGTCAGAATTTTATTTCCTATTATAGTAACCGACTGACATTATCATAATTTCAGCCCTGAAAAAATGTGTATAGCTCATAGTAAAAAATTTTTTTCATCACCTGACCCCTATATATATATTTCTGGGTCCTATTGTTTGTATGAAAAACCTGTTCTAACTTGATTTTCGTCTAGATCTCAAAACTATATCAATTAACATGATGAATTTTTTTGCAATCAAAAAATCAATGACTTTTTTTATTTCTTTTTTTCTTTTTTTTTAGGATAATGAAAGAGAAGAATTTAAAATTAATTTTAGCAGATATTTTTGTAATTACGTTCTTTATGATGAAATCAAATTTAATTTTTTAGTTATATTTATGATTAATCGACAAATTTTTTCTACAAAAAAAAATTGGCAAAAAATTTAGGTAACAATTAATTTC